ACACAAAGACACAACGAGACAAAGAGACAAAGAGACAAAGAGACAAAGAGACAAAGAGACAAAGAGACAAAGAGACAAAGACACAAAGACACAAAGACACAAAGACACAAAGACACAAAGACACAAAGACACAAAGACACAAAGACACAAAGACACAAAGACACAAAGACACAAAGACACAAAGACACAAACACACAAACAAGCAAGCAAGCAAGCAAGCAAACAAGCAAACAAACAAACACACACACAGACAAACACACACACACACACAGACACACGCGCACACAGGTAGGGAATCCACAGTAGCACCTCTCAACTTTCAAATCGAGCTCACTCGACTCTGTGCATAGGCCAATTCCAGCAAATCAATTCTTTAGGCTTGGATGTAGATCCCGCAAGTTAACCTTGCAGCTCAGGAGTATGTCCAACAAGTTCAAGTCCAAATATCCGAACAACCCAATCGCAGTGGAGACTGGATGGACACCAAAAAACAAGGCCTCCAAGGACCCTCAGCTCTGGACCAAATTTGCTTTGTCTGGGTTCATCCCCCGGCTTTCCGCAAAGAAACCAAAACCTCAAAAACACGCCGCGAAGCGGAGACATGGCCCGTGTGCGGCCCGTACCAGCTAGTCCGAGCGCCCACAAAGCGGCAATGTGGGTTCCTTCTTTACCTGCCTTGTCTTGGACCAATTATCATGGGAGAATGGTGTTTTCTCCTTGAACATCACAAATCTGACAAGATTGAAGTAGTTGAAGAGGTCTTGCTCCAAAACCATCCACTTTTCAGAGCGCTCCTACTAAGACGGACATGGACACTTGCAGACCTCGCTATGCCCAAAACTTTCCCAGATCCCTAGTGACCATGATACATTTGTTTGCTCGTTGATTTTGCACGCAACAACAAAACAAAAGGGCTGGGTTGTACTCAATCGGCCCAAGGAGGTGTTGCATTGCGGCGAACAAATCCTTGCTCTGGGCTGGGGCTCAACAAGATCTTGACAAAGCCCATCCTTGCTCAGCACTTGCCAGCCTCAACCCACTTCCCAACCACAGGCGTGTTTCCTCTAATGTTTACTTCTGGATGACTTAAAAGCAACGCAATCAGGGGCGGCTCCCTTTGCGGCAGTAGTTCTGTCTAGTATGGCCCTTGCTGAAATTCCGAAAGTAACAAGTGCATCGGAAAGGACTGACAAGGGCTAAGCGCCACAAATCACCTGGGATGAGGAATCCCAGAGTCAAACACCTTAATCATAGGAGAGGTTGCAGACCAATCAGCCCGTACCTCGAGCGGCCACAGGAAAAAGGCGCGCCCAATTTTGTCAATTGATTCTGCAGTGAGTTCACTTCTCCAAAAACAGATGAGAAAGGGAAGCCACTCCGCATGGAGGGCTGGTGGTCGAACTATCCGAATGTAAAGGGAACCCCCTCAAAAAGAATCCGTTGGGACGCCCAGGAAACAAACAGCAACAACTAGCTGAGAAAGGGAAGCCATTCCGAATGCAAAGGGAACTCCCTCAACAATTCTGTCAGGAAACTCCCTCACAATGCATCCACATTCAGCAAAAAAACACAACCAGGTCCTCGAGTAGAGAGGTTAGAATAAGGGTACCCTTTTTTCTGGAGTCTATTTTAGTAGGGGAACCCTCCCAACCAAAAAAGGGGTGAGAAAGGGCACCTAGCTGGGGGACGTAGCAACAACAACCTGATCCATGCGCGTAAAACCCAAGCGCCGGGCCCAATCCAAGCCCGGGCAGGCCATTGGAAGTGCTTCATTGCCTCGGGTCGGGTGAGCGGGACAAAAAAACACGACTGTGGGTTTGGGGGGGGGTGTCTGGAAAGACAGAACAACCACGAGGACACCAAGGGGTTTGGGCTTGGGGGGGGGTTCTGGAAAGAGAAAAACACAACAACGAGAACACCAACATGTTCTTCCCCAACAGCTGAAAGCCTTGGGGTCTCAGCCCAGATAGGCTCCGGGGTGGTCCGGGCGGACCTGAGGTAAGGTTCTACGAGGGTTCCACCACGGTTCCACGAGGGCTCCACCAGGTTCTGCGAGGGCTGTGGGGTGGTGCGAGCACTTAAAAAGAGCACCGCATGCTGTTGGGGATATCACCTGAGCTTATTTCTTGGGGGGGTCCGGAAAGACAAAAGACAACGACGAGGACCTGGCCCCCCATGGCCATGCTTTTTTAAAAGTGATCTCCTCTGGGCCATGCAATTGGGGTTCCGGGAAAGGGGGGGTGGTAGGCAATGAGGAACCAGTTGGTTGGTCGCCAAAAGCGTAAACAACCGAGCCGCCTGGTCCAATCATCCATTTGCTTGAGTCCCCTGGTAAAAAATGCAAATATTTTCAGTAGTGATAGATTCCCTTTAAAACCAACAGGGGAAAGCAAGACATATTCTTAACCACATGGAAGCTTTGAGACACACCCAAATGGCCGTGTCCTTAGGGGGAACCAATGTGTTTGACCATTGGGGTTCCCTTTCCGTCTGAGCTTCTCCAACAAAGAGGCACCGAATTTGTGTCTTCTATCCATCGCTTTCTGGGACAATGGCGCCCAGCTGTGCGGAAAACAGGGGACCTCCCACAGCCCTCAAATTCAAAAATCATTCGAAGATTTAACCAAACGGATGTTTTCTTAACCAAATGGAACTTGTTCTTAACCAAATGGAAGTTTCCTCAACCAAATGGAAGTTTTGAGACACACCAAAAAAACATCGGTTTCACAACACGAGCCATAGGCTGGGGAAAAAAATAACTGGGCTGCCAGACGTAGAGGCCGATGAGGGTGCCAGTACGACCCAAACCAGCCTGCGGTCACGCGGGCTAAAAGTGGATGGCTAGTCACAGGCGATTCCATGGAAGTTCCCAGTTGGCCCTTAAGGACCCAGAAATACAAGGCTGGATCCTCAGCAGAGAGGCTAAAATAAGGGTACACTTGCTTTTTTCTTTTTTTCTGTGGTCTATTTTAGTAGGGGAACCCTCCTCAAAAAAAAAAGGCAAAAGCGCACTACTGGGGGACCTAGACTAAGGTGATCACCTTTGTGGGCCGGCCAAGGGGAAACCAAAAGTTGGGGGCCATGACTAAACATGGACCAAAAAGGGGAAACCAAAAGGTGAAAAGGTTGATTGCTTCTGGCTGCTAGTCTGAGGGAGTGTAATGAGCAGATCATGAACTTGGACTTGGTAAACGCAGCAACATGAATTAGTTTGCTGTTTCAAGATAAATGCCCCCCCAAGTAGGGTTTCTGTGCTGTTGGGCGATCCCTTTGTCCAAAACAGGCGATCAGTAAGCGCGAACGAATCCAGGCCTTGCCCGGGGAAACCAACAGGGATTCAGTGCTGGAGGTCTGCTGAATTACACCGGAAGACGTGTGCTTGCACTTTGGTGCATTCTGGTCGCTCGCAACTTCTGCCAAAAGCACATGGGCCACGCGACCAGGATTCATGCGCTAAGGTGTTCTTCGGGAAACACATCACGTCAAATGTCAAGACGCACCTTCGTTTTGACTCTCGCTCAATGACTCAGGTCTTGGTTCCATCGATGCGCAATTTGTGCACAGCACATCAAAGCACCAGAGCATGATAATCGTAATGGATTAACAACCCCTGGTTGATGAACAAGGGTATAACACACTTTTGTGACCTGATTATCCAGACATGTTGACCCATAGAGAGAACCCGGATCAACTTTTGGTCGGAATTGCGCCAAGTTAGGGACATACCCTGCCCAAAATGGAACCTCGCTTCGAGGTTCCATGTTACTGGGTCCCGAAACGCCACCAGATTTAGACGGATTCGGATCCAAATCAGCTGGCCCAATGAATGATCACCCCGAATTAAAACAAACCTGGTGGACTTGTTGTCCCTTTTTGTTGGCACTTTTGGGGGGGGGAACACCCCCCGGAAAATGGGACGAGTTGATTCTAAGGTTTGCTCTGAGGTTGTAGGCCGGAACACCTGAATTTGGGCTCGAGGCCAGCTGAATTGGGAGCCCAGAAAAGTCACCCAAAAAGGAGACTCCTCTATTGATGATGATGTATGTGGGTGTTTATCAAAATGGCGGACTCCGTTTGGGTTGGTGATCTCCCCTATTTTGAGAAACAGACATGTTAATCTAACAACTCAGCAAATCGGGGGCAGCAAACCCCAGCAACCCCTTGAAATGCTATTCGCACCTATCGGCGAATCGGGATTGTGGTTTCGGCCACCCATCGAGCACAAGAATTTCCCTCGGTGAGGACGCATGTTTGCCTAGTTCCTTGTATGTCCCTTGAGTATCACCCCAAGGAGACCACTGTTGAAACAGACTTCCCACACGTTGCTTTGAGGCCCCCAAAAAAACACAGGGAAGCATAAAGGCAACAAACAACCTCGCCCAAAAAGAGAATTCCAAGGACATGGTCGGCGCTCGGAACCTCGAGGGGCTCTTTATTCAGGTTTGGTACGGATGAACGCATTGTTTAAACAAGACTGCGACGTAGATAAAGGCAAGCAATAAACCAATAAAATAGGACACTTCTTATTCCTGAGTAGTTCTAAGATATGATGCGCAATTCTAATCCCTATAAAATTCCTCATGTTGTTTTTTGTCCATCAGGGTTCAAGTGATAGCATACCCCGAACAGCCCCTCCTTTCCATAGCCTGCAATCCCCATAGATCCCCTTGGAGACCGGGCCAAAGCCTTGCTTCAAGATGTTTCATCAAACCATTGCGGTCTAGACAACCTCCTTTTTGGTGATGCTTGAGCCTATCTCTTTCCCTGAAGGGTGCAGTTCAAAGCAGTCTAACACAAAGGCACTCCCATTAAGGTGTGTGTGTGACAAAATCGGGATTGGCCCCCGGAAAAAAAAGGAGAATTGTTACTGGAAAAAAAAATCAACAAAGAGTTTTACTGGCTGCTTCCCTTTTAACTCGGCCCCCAAAATCCCGGTGCTCCGGTCCAACTTTGCTTCGCCCTGGGCCTTCCGACCGAGCCCGATGTTTGGCCTTGCAGTGCACCGCCACCGCGGTGGGCTCCGTTTCCACCACGTGGAGGAACTTGGAGATGATCTGACCGGGCAACTCACGTGGTTCAAAACATCTCTACTCTTGGTATGGTAGCAAAAAACTTTGCTTTTTGCAGACCCCCAGTAAAAATGAACAGAACCAAAAGATTAAAAAACTAAAAAACATGCCAAGAACAGTGAAGAAAGGGTTGGTCTGCAGAAAGTTCTGCGGGAAATTCCAGCTGATGACATTCTTTTTTGGTGAAGGGTCGACGTTCTACCCAAAAAAGAACATGGGTATTTGGAATGTTTTCTTGGTCACGGGTTGACATGATACCAACTAAGCGGCGGGTGTTCGGGAGCCATCAACCCAACCCTTTGAGCGGTGAAGTGGCTCGCGACCCGAAGGGAAGTTAGAAACACATCTGTTTGATGTCATTGTACAGGAAGCCCACCAAACAGAAAGGGAACCGGCACCTTTTCCTTGGAGGCTTTAAAGGGAAACTGAAAGGACAACCAACATTTTGGAGGGGTCCCCGAACAAAACTCACCTAGATATGGCAAACAAACACAAAACCGCCGAAATCTTCAAACTCATCTCGGCCAATCCAATTTTCCAAGCCTCCCTATGAAAGAAGCCCCTTCTGCATAAGTCTCCGGGCAAGAAGACTTGGACACTGAGAGTTTGCCCCAAGCAAAGACGCTGTTCCTGCCTGTGCGTACATTTTAAGACCATTCCGCAACGATCAATCTTCACTGCCAAGCAAGACTGCTCTCACTCAGGAGAAAGTGCTGCATCGAGTGCTTTGTCACAGTGGATTAAAGTAGTATCAAAAACTGGCACTGGCACATTCCCGCTGTTCAAGAGCATGCCAACTTCTGTGCAACCCAGAATCATGCAGTCAGCACCACGTTCAACCAAGTGCCTTGCAATACCTTCATACGCTTCACGGCTCTCGTTCAGCACGACTCCTTTGCAGAGCTCTTCGAAAATGATGCGATGAGTCTCAAGACGGTCAACAGGCTCTGGAATCAAGGGATTGAGTCCCTGATCGACAAGCTTGCTGATATAAAAATCCTGTTCCATGGTGTAAGCAGTGGCCATCAGCCCTGGACTACGAAAGCCTGCTGCGAGGATCGCGTCGCTCGTGGCGTCTGCGATGTGAATAAACGGAAGGGATGTTGAGTCGGTGATATGCTTGGCCACCTTATGCATGGTGTTTGTGGCCAAGATGAGAAGCTCAGCTCCACCCGCTTCCAAGCCACATGCTGCCTTGGCAAGAATGGCCCCAGCCTTCTGCCAATCACCCTGCTTTTGCAACTGCTCTATCACTGCAAAGTCAACGGAGCGAATTAGGCAGTCAGCTGAATGCAATCCTCCCAATCGTTGCCGAGCTTGTTCATTCAATCGCTGGTAGTACAGATTGGTTGAGCTTGATGACATGCCTCCCAAGATGCCAATCACGCGCATGGACTTTTGAAGGCAAGGGCACATTGCGGGACGCAATGAATAGGAAAGCTGCAGAAACGATAACTCAATTATACGTTTGGCTTCCTCAAACATCAACATCTTCTTTGGCACATGAGGGGTACTCTGCCTGTCGAACGCTGAAAATGATCAAGTCAAAGGCAGTGTATCACAAAATTGACATAGACATGAGAGATACACCACAAATCATAGTGAAATCCGCTGACTTTGAGCAAAGTGTGCTGCCGGAGCATCCTTTTGGTCACAACTGTTTCATGCGACTCCTTTTTAGCACACAAGTCATGGGCAGATTAAGCATTGGCAAACCTGCCCCTGGAACCAAGCGCCTATGCACGATGTCTTTTGCGCCATGTTGCGTGCCGAGTCTTGTCTGCCATGCTCTTTCCTTTTCTCCCTCAATCTCCCTTAAGCCCTGTTCGGGGGGGGGGGGGAATGCTTGAGATTTCTCATTGGCACAGCGTCTGCGATGGTGCTGAACACATCACGTAGTCATCGAATGGATCCTTGAGCTCGACGTAAACCATCGAGCTCTTGGCTTTCAGGCTTCCGAGGGCAAACAAAAATGAATGCCCTTTCGCACTCCTTTGAAACAATGGTTGAATCCTTCCAGGATTCTTTCGGATGGAATTCGTCCATCCACAGTATCATCGGCAGATTGCAAGATGGCTCCAGTCTGAAACATGCTGGACATCGCATGCATTTGGATCACATGAACCAGCAATTCTACGTTCGCCATGCGTTTGGGATGCGATCTACGAGAGCTTCGCGCTCGAAGAAGCGCAGCCATCCTCGGATTGCCTTGCTTTCCACGAGCCACTTCTCCAGGCGAGTAGGGATTTGCCTTATCTTAGTTGGACATAAAGAGAAGAATGATGGTGGTAGGAGTAGGTAAGAGTACTACAGCATTTGTGTCAAAAAGGGAATGTGGACCCTGTTGCACTATTGACTCATTGACCCCTCTTTGGTAGCCAGCGGCTCAACAGTTTTCCAGCAGCTGTTCCCTTATCTAGATCACCGGTACCCTTCGCCTCAAAAAAGTTGACAACCCCCATTTTACCTCTGCTGATCAACTAGAGGGAAGCAAAGTTGGATTTGGGAAACTCTTTGTGGGTCTCAGCTGAACAAAGGGCCCAGAAACAAAAAAAAAGACAAGCCTTTGGGGCCATGACTCAAAATGGACCAACCGGGGGAAACCGAAGGTCAAAAGGTAAGAAAGGACCCCTTTTTTGAATCAACACAACTGATTCGCCCAGACCTGCAGATGGATCGGAAACAGTTCTGGCGATGCCGGAGACGAAGCAAACGAAGCAAAGTCCGTGAAACAAGTGCAGGGATGCGACAGCACAGCCAACCCCCCGCTTGGATATATCAGCTTTCTAACCGGCCAATAGGAACTTCTTCAAAGCCGGTACAGTGACCCCTGACTCAGTCGATGATAATTAAATCTTCACGACCAACATGGAAACTGAAGTCAAATTCTCAGAAGGAGGCTCCAGCAATAATCAAGCAAATGGAAGTTCAAATCCAATCGTAAAGGGAAGCTCGGACAACACTAAGCAATTGAACTGGACCTCAAGATATTGATCTAGGCTTCGATTGTTCTGGTAGACCCCGGACATTTCCCTTTTGGTGTTGAACAAGGAAACCCTGAGTAGAGTCTGGCCCAAATATAGAATGTACATATGTTTGCTTCGTTGAAAAGTATCCTAAGTCTTCTACCCCAGAGAACAACAGAACAATACATTTCATTTGTTGGGTTGCCCTGCGCGATAAACACGAAGTTGACCACGTAGAAACGCACAGCAGCTGTGGCGAGGTGCTGTCAAACACAGTGCAGTGGAAGATCGCCCCAGGATGTAATAGTGCTGTGTCTTCTTGTAGACCCCCCCCAAAGAAAGAAAACAAAAACAAAACAAAAACAAAAAACAGTCGTGGTTGTCCTTTTGGTTTCCCTTGAAAGCACCACACAGAAAGGCGGACCATCTCACACAGACATACCATGCACATATTTATAAACACGGACATCAACATGCATTTAACTGAGTTTGTATTTTACGGGCCTAGCTCATCAGAATGGGGTGGGGGTTCCAGAATAGGAGAAAGCTCGCAAGTATTTCTTTACCCTCCAACTAACTTGGGGCTCCCTGCAAGGAGATTCATCTTCCAGGTTCCCTCCCACAGGTGCCTTCTGTTAGTGGGAGGAAAGGGTATACCCCTGAAGTAATAGGCCTCTCTGGCAGGTCCGTGGTTTGCTCGGAAAGAAATCCTTCCATTTGCTTAAGCCGCCTGGAAGCAAATCATTTCCAGTAGTGATAGAGTTCCCTTTAACACCAACAGGGAAATCAAAACACATTCTTAAGCAAATACAAGAATGCCAGGCCTCTCTGTCTGGGCAGCTGCCATCCAAGAAGTACAAATCCACATGCTTCAAGCCGTGGTCTACGAAGCGCCGCCGGTCGTACCTGCAATGGGGACGGCCCGAATTAGGATTCGAAAAAACTGTCTGAGTGAATTGGCCAACAACCAGCGCCCCGCAAGAACTGTTTTTGGACAGTGCTTGGGAGTTTGGACATGGGACAAAAACAATTGCTTGGGGGGGTGGGGTGCTGGAGACAGTCTGCATTCTTTGTGGTCTTCCCAAGATGGTCTTCAAAGTGACATCTTCCCTTTCAACAAGGACAAAGCGACTTCAATTGACGCGTTCCGGTTGCCTTGAACCAGCAAAACCCCCAAATGAATACACGCCCCCAGAGGCACGAAACAAGCCTGTTGCTGGGTCCAAAGTGAAAGCCTCAAAGGACTCAGTCTTGCCTTGTGCAAATGCGGCTTGTGCGAAGTAAAGACATTGGTACCCTCAAAAACAAAACAAACACGCTTTTGCCGAATTTTGGGACCTGCTCGCCACTGCAAACATAGGAAACATATAGTGGTACCATCTGGCGACCTGCTGTAGTGAGTATCCTGCACTGTGTCAAACATTTAGTGATTCCGCATGTCCTTCCCAAATGGACCATGAAATGCTGGACATTCTGACCGCGAGATCCATTTCGCACCGCCTTGAAACCAGGGTTGCAACCATTCATTCTCAAGGGAACCATCATTCCAGGGTTTGTGAGGTGCAGGATTCTGTCCATCCACAGTATTTCGGCCGCTGTCCACTTCTTCAAGCAGCGCACTGCTTCTTGTTCAGCCGCACGACCAGGCCGATGCCCGCGTCGCGGAAGATGGGCACATAGTCCTGGAGCAGAAACGCAACCATCGTTCTTCTCCAAAACAGGTGCAGAGTTAATCGAGGATTGCGTTCTCCAGTTTTTCTCTCTCTTTTTTGGTGGGGGGGAGCAAAATGCAGTTTTTCCGCAGCATTTCACTTTACATCCCTGGCCTTTCCAAAACCGTCCCTTTGCTCTGTGTTTCTGGTGCGTGGAAGGAAGGACCCCTTGAAAATAAGGGAGTTACCTAGACAGAGCTTGTCGAAACACGTTTTCTTTTTGGGATCCTCTTAAACAAGCGAAAAGGGGCCCTTCAAAAACACGCGTGCGCACGTTTGATTAACTTGACGATGGTTGTCGCGTCTTACCCATGGGCGGTGCGTGGTTGAGCGTTCAGCCCCTGAAGAAAAACACACACGCCATGGGTGATGGAAACCGACCCGACAGCACAAGCGGGAATTCTAGTTTCTAAACAAGTGATCAATATCTGCCGTTCTTCTGGTTCCTGAATTTGTGCCCACTCATTCTCAGCCAATCACATTGGCGTTTACAACCACGGTCAAGAATCTTTCCTTGGGTCATGGTCATGGATGTGGTTGTCGAAATTCCATATGATCATCCTGCCTACCCAAGTACATGCGTATCTTGATCATGGCAAATATGGGATTGCTCATCGGCGCGCCTGTTGCCAGTCGTCAAACGCGCCGACAAACAGTGACATTCAAGCAGGAAAGAGTCAGCTTCCATTTGTTCAAGCCCAAAAACATGTCCAGTTGCGACTTAGCAGACGGGGGACTTTATGTGGCAAGCCAAGGAACAGCGCGGCCCACGGACTGCGGCCAAAGGCAGACAAGGCTGGAGTGCGCGCCGCGAATTCCCCCGCCCGTTTCGGTCCTCTGGAGTGAAGGCCGGGAACCTTAGTGGCCAAGTTGAAAGGGCTCGGAAAGTTTCTCTTTTTATGCATTCTCTTTTTTGCTCTCTCTTTCCCCTCTGATCTTTCTCTTTCTTGCTCTCTCCCCGCGCGTGCCACGAAATCCAACTTCAGTACGCTCAAACTACGGACCCTGCCATGGAAACAGCCCCCCCCTTTCTCATCTCTTCTTTCTCTGTCTCTTTCTCCTTCTTTTTCTCAAACCCCCGCAAAGGGTTGCACCTCTTGAACAATTCGCAAATACGATTTGCCCAACCGTCCATTTGCCCCACTTCCAATCCGTTGGGGGGTTATTGCTGTCAGAAGTTGTGACGCCTAAGATTCTTTAGGGATGCCTGAAGCTTCGCGAAGTTTTCAGGCTTTGAATTCTAAACTGTGCAGTACGTTCTGGGAGACTGAGCAGGCTTAACTGTGACTCCCCATTTGATTGTACAGTCTTCCTGTTGAGGCCCTCAATCTGTGTGGGGGCGGGGGCTGTTTTGGGAGGGCCTTTCCTATCACTCCTCATAAATTGTCTTGGCCCCTCACAACACACAGCCACATGGCCGTGGCTCCAACAAGATGTTCCAAAATGATTGACACCATGGTTTTCACGGAAGCAAAGACTAAAACCTGCCTTCTCGTAACCCTAGCTCTGGAAAACGGTCCAAGTATAAGCCTGTACTTAAAAGAAATGGACCCCACCTGGCTCCATTTAAAAAGAAAAAGCCACAGCTCCACATCTCGAGGCACCCCCGCACGTTGGCTCCCGCGGCTCCCGCCGGACCTCCGCCCCGCCGGACCTCCGCCCCATCCGCCGGACCTCCGCCCCGTCCGCCGATCGGCTGAGGCTCCGCGCCCGTCGGCGTCGGTGGAGGTTGGGCTGGGCCCGGCGAAGGCCAGGAACTTGTCCGGCACGATCCAATTCATATCCCCGTTCTCCACCTGCGTGGGAATGGAAGCAGCGAAGCGAGGAGCAGCGGGGCAGCGAAGCGACGCAGAAAGCGGGAAAAAAGCGGAGAAAAAAAAACAAGTCATCCATGGGGAGGCGCATGGGAGGGGCAGTGAAGAGGAAAAAACAAAACACTTTTAACAAGTTGATCTGGGGGGGGGGCGACGAGAAGAGAAAAACAACACAACTTCACCAGTTTCTCCATGTGGGGGGGGGGGCAGCGGAAAAACCTAACTTTTAACCAGCTGATCCATGGGGCGGGGGAAGCGAAGAGAAAAACCCAATGCACCAGCTTATCCATGAAGATCCCTTCATGTTTGGGCCAGATTCATGTGAAGACTCAAAGAATTAAAAAGGCGGCACTGGGATTGCCCCTGACCCTCCAACTACGCGGTCTTTGATTGTCAGGTCGGAAAGCCTCAGCTCTTGCAGATCCCCATCTCAATTCCCAAGTCGATGCGGCAAATCGGTTCCGGACTCGGAGGCCGAAAAAGGACTTGGCACTTTTTGCGTAACCCAAGTTGTAGCAACCGACTGGCGGCTGCTGTTTCAATGAAAAGGCAGGGGCAACCCAAGGCTCAACAAAGCACGTCTCAGTGTCCGAATCAAATCAAATTCAGCCACACGGGCGTGTCTTTGTTTAGGGGGCCTTTGCAAAATGTGTCTTTCCTGTTGCTTTCCCTTGAAAGCCACCCAAAAAAAAGGGTACCAAACATACACCCACACCCTGCAGTATTTCTCCCAGCCAGCCCTCCGAGACAAAGCTTCAGAGCGTACCAACCACTTTTTAAATCTGCAGCACCCCCCACACGCGCTGCACACCCGTCACAAGATGCAGAGACACGGATGCAAAGCGCAACGCGAATAGGAACGAACACCAAAACCTCCTGACCAAATCGGCCTGTTGACTGGATAGGGTTAGACTTCTTTTTGTTCCGAATCGCCTCAGGGCTTCGAACTTCTTGGCATAGCATCTTGAAAAGGGGGAAATGCTAACGGCCCCCCCCGCTTTTCCGCCCGAGTCGAAAGCGGGAGCCATACCCTGGAAGACATGGGAACACCCTTGCTGATGAACAGAAAACCATGCGCTGTTCAAGAGGGGGGCGGGTCCCAGTTTTGCTTTTCAGCCCAATGGTTCTGTATTGTAAGGCTGTTCTCACACATGGAGTCGGAACCAAGCAAAGCGCACGGGTTGTCAATATGGCGGATTCTATTCAGCCGTGTTTCCTTCTGTGGTTTTAACACTGAGATACAAGTCAAAGATAGTCGTCCATTTGCTTAAGTCCCCTGGAAAGAAACAATAAACAAACACACACACACACACACACATATATATATATATATCCAGCCATGATAGATTAAACCCAACAGGGAACATATTGCTAATAAAAACACACACACACACACACACCCCTGGGGGAAAAAAAAACTACAACACATATAATATGTCCAGCCGTAATAGATTCCCTTTAAACCCAACAGGCATTGAAACAACAACAAAAAACACACACACACACACCAAACAACAACAACCGCATAAGCAAGAACGGAAGTGTTCAGGGTTGCTCCGAAGACCCTTTTGCCCAACTTGCCAAAAATCTCGACGCATCTCGCCCGGTTTCTTTGCCTAACGAGTTGTGGCCTGATAGATTTGATTTGGAACACATGAAGTTTAACCTGTTCCCCAGCCTCCTGGATTTGGAACACATGAAGTATTTGGAACCCCCACATGATTCAATCCTTCCCTAGTGGTCATCGGAAAGGAAGAAACCCGGAATCTTGAGTCAGGCGCTTCTGATTTTGTGTTGGGTCCCCATGCGCTTTTTTCTGACCCCAAAGTAGCCACCTTAGGTGCTACACTTGGGAAAAACCTTGAGTCAGGTGAGTCCTTAGCGTTTCGCATCCGGTGTCCAAAGGCTTGTGACTATGTACAAAGCCCACCATCCCATCATGCGCGCTTAAATCTGCACTCCGCGCCCGGAAGCGGCAAGTCGCTCCGTGGAGACTTAACTCTGCCAACTGTAAAGAAATGGCATGCCCAGTGGATCCATGTACTTGAATATAGTAGGTAGCCCAGGGCTTGCCACCCCTTCAAAAAACCAAAAGTAGCTTACCTACTGACTAGAACGGGTTCACTGGGATGAATAGTCAAATTGGACTTCCTGGTGTGCTGCCAATCGATGATTCGATGTCGCCTGACTTCATAAACGGACAATGTGATTTTTATGTGAAATTGGACCGCCTGCACTTGGCTTGTTCTGGGTGATTGTTGTGAGGCCCCAGGTCCGTCCTGTAGCAATGGACTGCCCATGATTCTGGGAGTCGCTCAAATGCATTCCACCAACAGGCAAATCCGCAAATTTGTTGGGGACCGATCTAAGTGGAATTTCATACCAAGCCAATCTCAAATATATATATATATATATATATCACCACCAGAAACCGATAGGCGACTACCCACTGACACCAACCAAAACCCCTTGCAGCCCAAGGTAATTCGGAGCGGGGGCTCGAACCTCAAATTAAATGCCGAGTCAATTCATCTTGGTTGACGTTGGAAGGGGAGCAACATTTTCCTCTTAGCAGTCAAGCGGGGATTTCCCACTAAACCACAATAAGCAATAATGTAACATGTTTCCCAACAACAACCATGGCATCCTCCTTTGGCCACAGATCCACGAGCCTCTAGATCTGGAAAGCTTTCTTGTTGGAAAGACACCAAAAGAACCCCGAAGAGGGCCTTTTCCTTCTGACTGTGGTTGTTGCTTTGGGGGGCTCGTATGCGCGGATCCTCTTGAACACCAAAGACCAGTCATGGTTGTTCACACTTTGGTCAGCCCCATGCAATCTTCTGACAGTGTCCAGAGATAAAAGGGACACCCCTTTTCGGCTGGCTTGCTTTTTAGGGAGTCCACGTGCGGGAAATCAACCAACAAAAGCCGAACCACAAATTGAAAAGTCCGACCCTTAAGGGAACCCTCACCTGAAACGAACACAAAACCCGGCCGCGAGGGGACTCTTCTGGCTGCTTGTCCTTCGCTTTGGCCACGGAGAGCTTGCCCGGACTCGCTCAGATTCCTCTCACCCGACACGTCCACCGGCATGCGTCAACCAGGGATTTGTCTCCCCAAACGCGCTTCGGTAAAAATCTCCCGATTTGTGTACGATCCATTCGAGAGGGCCATGGAACAACTTCTTGATGTACCATGTCCGTATCTTCGCGATTTTCACCATCGCTCAACTGCTTGGCAAACCATGTTGGCCGTTTACATATTTGCCAAAAGGGGTCCAACTTGATTTGTCGCAGATCTAAGATGACTGAACGAAGACTATAGGCACTTTACCCAAAATGCGACACGCTCCCGTTGAGCACTTGAATTGAACTCTATCTATACCGCTGATTGCAGGAGAACAAAGGTCATTCCGTGGCTGGCGTCCACTTACCACAAGTTCAACTGTCTGCTTTAGCTAGAATAAGGGTACCCTTTTTCTGTAGTCTATTTTAGTAGAGGGAACCCTCCGCCAAGAAAGGGTAAAAGGGCACTACTGCGGGACCTAGGCATATATGGGGAAGTGTCTCAACATGGTGAAATTCCGCTTGGTTGGTGATCGAAATGAAGTCAGCAGGAAACAAACCCATTGTGGCCGAACTGCCTGTTTCCGGCCCAAAATTCCTCCCCCGTTTGCAAAGCAACCACGTGGCGAGGGAGATTCGGCTTTTGCCCTCGCCATGGCATCAGAGCCATGGTTGCCAGCCTTGGCGAGGCGGGCAACCGGCAGTGGGGCCGCAAAAAGTTGCGGGAGAAAAAAACACGGGGGGGGGGGGGGAAAGGAACAAACAAGTGGAGAAAACAACAAAAAAAACACCCACACACACACAAAAAAAAGGTGGGGGCCCCCAGGTACTTCCCCGACTGACAGATTACCAGTATTCTTTGTGTTTTGGTCAGTTCCTCACACATTGCCCACAACCGGAAGTGGACAGCTGGCGTTTCAATGGGAATGCAGTCTTCCAAAACCCTCCCTCTTGCTGTCATGTTTTTTGTGCCACTCGCAGGTTGAAATCGCTGCACACCTGTGGTTTCTCGTTGGTCAATGCAACAATCCCCCGAATGTCGGCTCGAGAGAGCGGAACTCTCAGGTCGAAGCTTCTGGGTTTCCCAAGACATGGGGAAGCCATGCCAACCATGGACTGGTCAAAAATGACCGTCACAAAAATAATGGGACCCTTGAAACGCTTGGTTTAGACACGGATCCCACAAGGAGTCTCCACGAATCGGATACCTAAGACAAGATCGAATTGGAAACAGCATGGCGTGCGAAAGCACTTCCGATGCTGAAATGACACTGGCTACCCACGGCACAAATGCTGCCAAACACCAAATATGGGTGTCTGTTTTGTTGAGGCAGGGGTTGTTTTAAAGGGAAAGAAACCAAAGGGAACCCCTTCTTACTTGGTTTTTGCTCAAAACTTGGTTGACGTTGGAAGGGGAGCAAACAATTAATTCTTAACAGTTAAGTGGTTGGATGTCAAACACTAAAATAAAATCAGCAAACATGCCAAAACAGTTTCCCAACAACCAAGAAATGGAAGGGGGACCACCCCGGAGCCTATCTGGGCTCAAAAAACCCAAAGCTTTCAGCTGTTGGAAGAACATGTTTCCCAAGAACCATGGAAGTCGAGGCCCAAGTATGTCGTTGTTTCCGTTTGGCCTCCCGTAGCAAAGGGTTCCGGTTGGGAAAGCCGGTTCCTTGGAGGCCAGGCGCATGAACTGACATGGCTGTGGGTGAAAAATAGGTACTCAAACATGGCACCCAATGGAAAGAAGGACTAAATCTAGGTCCTCCAGTAGAGAGGAGGAGAATAAGGGTACCCTGTTCTTCTGTAGTCTATTTTAGTGGGGAACCCTCCCCTAAAAAAGGGTAAAAGGCACTACTGGGGGACCTACAATGAAAAGAAGGACGGCGGTCTAATTTTAGACCCATACCTACCAGCAGACCAGCAGACCTTTTTAAGCGCCAAGTTATGTGTGCGACGAGGAAGGTTAGAGCAGAACACCCTGCTGAGAGGAAAGTTCTGGGACATGGGTGTGCTACTTTTGAGGCTATATTCAAGGTGCCGCTTCGAACGAAAGCCAATACGCAAACACCCATGTTGCCCCAACAGCTGAAAGCTACGGGGTTCCTGCCCAAATAAGCTCTAGGGTGGTTTGGGGCAGCTTTCAAGGAGGGTTCCGAAAGATTATCGGGCTGTTGGGGCGTTTTTTTTTTTTTTTTTTTAATTTTCCCGGGGGGGGGGCAATGTAGACAAACCCACGCCCTCTTACTGTTGAATCACCATGGAACGGCACTGAATCGTGAAAACTTGACCGCTTGGATGCTGGTCACCCTGTTGACATCGCAAAACGCAAGCCAGCATGTTCACTTCACCCACTTAATCTTGACGGAAATCATTGTCTGTTGGTAAATCCAGAGGAGTCGTCATTCCACAGTTTCTGAGGTGGTGCGATATAAATTATGTCCACCCACCGCATGGCGCTTTGGGGGTCCCATTGCAAGAGGTGACCACTGAAAAAGCACCCTGCGATCTCCGACCTGACTCGCAGCTGTGGTTGAGACCTGACCCGAACAATTTGCAACTCGGCCCGTCGCCTACGTACATCTCGCTCAGGTTCCGCTTGCATGTTGCCGCCTGGCAGCTTGGCGACCGCGCTAAAGAGGCTCGCAGTTACCACTGGGGAGCTAGATGGGGGATCAAGTTACACAGCACCCCATCCCTATGACTTCCTGTGGGGAAAATGTTTAACCAAATACGGCTTCTGCAGAACCCAGATCAGCATCTTCAGGAATGGGCTTTGGAGGGATGCTTGTATACCACCAGTATAACTTGGTTGACGTTGAAAGGGAAAGGGGAGCAACAATACTCAAATTTCAGCAGCCAAGTGGTTGGATTTCAACCACTAAACCACAATAAGCAAAAATGTAAAATGTTTCCCAACAACAACCAAGATAAGCTTGACAAGGCAGTACATACCCCTTATATAAGTGGTAGATTACCTCCATACCTCCAAAACCCATCCCTGAAACTGTCCTTGACCAGTGTCTGACAATATTCCGTGTTTCTCTGGTAATCCCTGGCAACTGGGCTTTGCCCTTCAATTTGCAACTGGTGATGTTGCGTCAAGATGCTCCAATGGTGGTGTTGCCTTCAAAATTGTGCTCCCAGTTACCTGCAATGTCAACTCTGTTCCCAGCAACACACAACTGGGTGTGGCATTTCCTTAGGTGATCCCGAAGGATTCGCACAAATGGGTTCCTTCCGGATGCTAAACAGATTATCGGTACAAGCTGGAACCCATGTGTGTTCAAAAAAACAAACAAGCAAAGAACACTGCATTGTAGAGATCTATGTTTGATTGAAACACACACGCAAACAAAACTCCTGGGGTTTGAGTGTGGCTCAAGGTCTGCTTAAAACCCCCGCCAAGCCATCGCAGATATCCAAAACAAACAAGGGAAGGTCCAGCCGCCAGAATTAGATTGGGACCCATCAGGCAAGCTGTACCCGGTGTACCCTCCAGGCTTCCCGGAAGTTGAATCCATGCGGGAACCCACCAGCAAAGTACACATAAACATTTCGAGCCATACCGCAAGAAGTCATCGGTAGACTCTTGCAAGAAAGTAGGGGCACCGCCAAGAGGAAACTCATCTAAAGTTGGATCTTGGCAAAAAGTAGAAGGACGTGTAGCTCACATCCTGAGAGGATTGGCCAAGTCCGCACTTTTTATTTGCAGCCAGCAGCCCCAGCAAGTCAGGGAGTTAAAAACTTGGTTGTTGACCCCTCTGCAAACAGTTTAACTTTTGGTGGGTTTAATGCAAAGTCCCTTGATTTCCCAAAAAGTTAAAGTCTAAAGATCCAACCCAATAGCAATCAAGAAAAGGCCCCTAGACCATCAGATTGGGTCAAGGTTTCGCACCCTTCCTGTGCCTTGATCAATTCATCCACCTGGCCCTTCACGGAAAGGCCCACCCCGCGATCGCGGCCTGAGTCTGAGCCCCGAGCCAAAGCTACCAAGTTGGGGCACACTCTTTGGCTGCCTCTTCCTAAATCCCCAGTTGCCCTTATTTTCCAGCTACTTTTGCCAAATTGTGGGCTACTAGTGGGTAAAGTGGCTGGAAAAGCTACTTGGGGGACTCTGAGCATGACCAGTACCCTTGGGAGTACTCTGACGTGGAGGCGCGCACAAAAAATTGAGTGTTATCGCTGTCTTAAGCCCGGCGCCGAGCAGACTGCGCATCCGCTCATCTTTGGACAGCACGGATTCCCGCGTATCCTTGGCATCCTTGGCACCGGAATGCGGCTGTTGGTCCGAGCGAGGATGGTCAATCCGGAGGACTAACCGGAGGACCCACTTCAAACAATATGTTCCTTGTATGGTACCCCGGCTTGCTCTGAGGTTAGCATTCGAAGCGGAAAAAACAAAAACAAAGGAGACAGAACAAGTGGAATCCCCAAACAAGCGCGCCAAACCGTTCCGAGACACTACAACAAAAGTACACCTGAATCACGGGCAAGTGAGTCATGCTCTGCAAGAGTTTGAAGGCATGGCATGGTTCATCCCAAAAGCAAACCTCACGATCCGTCACGAACCCAACACTTGGGTTCTCCCCGTGGCGTTTGTGTGAAACTTGGCCTGTCCCCCCCTTCCCCCACGTCCTGACGGGGGTTGTCAAATTAGGGCCCTTTTTGGTATCCGCTTGAAAAGGCGGCACGTACCGACGGCACCGTCCCTGGAAAGTGTCCATCTTTTTGACAGGGACCCCTTGCCCCCCAAGTGTGTGAGTTAAACCTGGTTCATCACTGGTTCCACTGGATTTCCGCTCCAAGCGTTGCAACTTGCAGGTGGGTTCCACTAAAACTGCCGCTTTTGGAGCGGCCCATGTCCGCTTCCCTCACAGCTCTTGACAACAACTGAGGTTCATGACCACGGCTACCTCAGTTGTTGCTTTGCCCAAAACATGATTTAGTATCTTGATTCTATTCCATATATGAGCATGTGTTTACAGGGGCAACCAACCAAATGGTGGTTTTCCTTTGTTGAAACCAAGGTGAAAAGCGAACCTCACCATGTAAAGAGATACTTTCAATCGAAACCCCCACATGGCACACACGTAGCTATCGGGACCATGAACCTTGCTGGTGCTAAGCTCCAAACACTCGCCACAGCTGCACCCACATTCAGCATGCCCTTCCTTGCCGCGTCCGAGAAATTGGGACTTGTTGCCTAAACAACCCAGCAAGCGGAGCCACGGATGCCCGTAAGGTGCTCGCTGAAGAGCTTGGTCCCACTCGCCCCCCTCTTTTGGAATAGAAAAGCCTAAGCCCCAGGGCCCCTTTGACAGGACACCCGTTTGAGGGGCCCGCAGATTTGTACAAGGATGGATTGGAAGAACAACCCTCGCCAACCTGATTTGACCCGGCCAGAACAAGTTGAGATGTGTCTTTTGGCCCTTTTCACAGGCCATTGCGCAGCAATCCGTGGATGATGAGGTAGTCAAACAGCATATCTTGAAGCACGTACAGCTTCGAAGGCAAGACGGTACACTTTTCAGCTGGCTTGGTTGACGTTGGAAGGGAAGCAACAACTTAACTTTTAGCAGTTAATTGGGGATTTCAACCACTAAACCACAACAAGCAAACATGTAAATCGTTTCCCAACAACCATTGCTGGGGTCCATTGGGGACTGGCCCCTTTTGAGCGCAGCTCCACGCGTGGAATACCGACTCTCCGTCAAGTCTCGAAGCTGGACATGGGAGGAAGGGTCCCCGGTCCATGTGCCGAAAAAATCATACGGGGGGGTGTCGTTTTCTTTTAAGGGAACCCGCCAAAATGGCTTTCTCCTGTTGGTTTCCCTTGAAAAAACCATCCACGAACGTGGCACCCCCCCCAAAAAGAAAGAAAGAAAGAAAGAAGGAAAGAAGGAAAGAAAGAAACATGTTCATGCAGTGGAAGTGGATGGATGCAAGGGAACGGTTCCCAATGGGTGGCTTCACGTTATCTGTCCCTGGGCTCCTGGTGCCCCCCTCATGTACCAGTTGCCTGTATAGGCATTACGTATACACAGCACAGTTGCCCCTAATCCAGAAGCACCTAATCCACTCTACAAAAAACTACAAACATGGGTCTGGACGATCATGGTTGCCTTTACCTTCCCGCTAACCTGTGCTTCCCTGTACTATCCTTCCAAGGAAGCTAGTCCTCCAACGTCCGCTTCCACTGGAAAGGTTCACAACTCCTGCTCTCGCTCTCTCTCTCTCTCAGATCTGTCGCCATGGGAGGAACCCTGCACAAATTGAACAAATGGAAGGGGGATCTGAAACGTAGAATTTCTTGTCTGAGCCGCTCTCTAAAACATGTGCAGGGATGGTTCTGCAAAACGAGGGACCCTATCCTTCCCGAGTGGATCGGCCAAAAAGAGTCGTTTACCTTTTTGTTTACCACCAAAACGTTCCAAAACCAACAAGTGCCTAAAGTCCGAAAAAAGCGGAACTCAGGGAGTGAGTCTCCAAAGTAACAAAACACAAATATTTCCGGGCTCCAACTTTGAGCCGGTCCGATCATCGGCCCGCATCTCTCGCCCCGCTCGGCTCGGCTCGCGCTCGATCGCCCTCTCTCGGGCGCCGGCAGCTTCTTCTCCACGTCCCCGATGGTGTCTCTGGCGATTTGGACCTGGGATTGGGCAGATTTTGGACCTGGGATCTGAGGGCAGTTTTTGGACCTGGGATCTGAGGCCAGTTTTTGAAGCTGGGATCTGAGGGCAGTTTTTCAGGTACAACAAATGAGCTGGAGTCTTTGTCCCGGATCTGGACCTGGGATCCCATGGGCATTTTCTTCAGGAGTCTTCACGACCCTTTCGACATGGGTCCATGGGTCAATTTGATGCCCTCTGGTCTACCCTCCAACCACCATGGAAGCTGGGAGGAGTTCGCAAGATGAGTTTCCCTTTGGGGAACCTCTCCGCTTCCATTGCCGGGAAGGTAAAAATTAACTGACGACGAACGCCTTAGTATCTCGTTGATGCTTCGGAGCCTCGTGGCTTGGATGCTAAATGGGTACCATTGCCATTTAGGCTACTGGAAGTAGGGTTCAACTCCCCAAATCGATCCAAACCACCAGCCAAGGGGTACCTGATACCACAGAAGTGCCAGAATGTTGTCGGAGCACTGGCGGCATTCGCTAGATGTCACAAGAAGACCGGGATGCTCCGAGGAAAGGCCCTGCGCGAAGGGAAACACCTTGCTCCAGGATCAAAGCTGGAGCGTCGTCCCAGCCAAGGTGCGAAGAAACCACACAAGCTCAGGGGGTATCCCCAACATCTGCAAACATTTGATTGAGCCGAATCTCCTGTTGAACCCTCCGGATCACCAAGGCAGCCCAACATTCTTTTGGGCAGAGACCCCATAGCTTTCAGCTGTTGGGGAACAATACGCCCAGACGACAAGGAGCAAGCCACTCCGGAGCAAGCCATACGGAGCAAGCCCATCAACCCCATAGCTCTTCAACGCTTGAATCAAATCTTCAAATCACACATGATTCTCCTACTTATGGACAAAATCCACAAAACGCACCAGTCGGGAGGGATGAAACCTGAATTGGATACTGGGTTAAACCACCAATTCCAACTACAGGAGTTTGTCAACCATGATCATGAGATATCGTGGTTCAAAAGTTACCCACCCACTCGAATTAAGGCCTGCTCCGTTTTCACGCCGAAGGGAAACATCGCTCAACACGGGGTTGATCAAGATTCCTGGCCCCCAAATGCCCATGGCTAACTTCCCCCATTGAGTGGGAAGAATCTTTTTGGTGGTTCTCCCCCAATTTGTCATTTTATGTAAGGGACCTTCTCCTCAACCCATGCGGCTGTGGGTCAAAAGCAGGTACCCAAAATGGCTTGCCCCAGTAAATGGAGCGGACTAAAACCTGCGGTCCCATTCCTGGTGGTTTAATTTTGACCCATACCCATATATATATATATAATATGTATATACATATATATAATATACATACTGTGGATGGACGAAATCCTGCACCACCTAAGAAGCTCTGGTTCATTCCCTTGTAAACACCCGGGAACCATGGTTCCTCATGGTTTCAAAGTGGTGCGACATGGCTGTCGCAACCACGGTATGTATATGGCTGTGGGTCAAAAAATCGGTACCCAAAATGGCACCCTGGTAAATGGAACCAAAGACTAAAACCCGCGTAACCCCAGCTCTTTAATTTTGAGCCACATGTATATTTTGTCTGACAAGCTCCGGCCCCTCTCGGTCATCTCTCAGGCCCCCTGCGCGATGATCCTCCGGGTTGGCCTCCTTGGCCTCCGCTTCGCTCGACTTCCGAACGCCGGGGGCGCTTTTTGGTTCCCAGAGGCTCCAATTCGATTGATTGCGGGCCTTCAAACTTGGCTGGAATTAGGACCCCAGCAAAACACATATGTTTTGCCTGGTTAGTGGAAAACAAAGGGAACCCCCAAAAAAGCAAAAAAGTAAAAAGGGGAACTAATTCTGGGGAAGCAAACAGCCTGGTTTTGAGACCCCCACCCACCTCCGGGGTATGGAGGGGTCGGGTCTTCCATTGAAAGCCGAAGCCAGGAGCCTCTGGGTTGGAGGTATCCCGAACATGGCGCTTGTACGGGAAGGCCCCAAGAAAGCCGGGAACATCCGCACGACTGGCCGAACGAGAAAGTGGAGAAAGTGGGGATGTTCCCAAACTTTTTGAGACCAGGTAAATTTGGAGTTCCGGGGAACCCCCTTGTTTTCTGGGGGATGTTCCCAAATTTTGGAGTTGCTCGTGCCAAGATCGGGCTTAGGAAAGTCAGGAAGCCATTCCAGGCAAGCGTCACTTCAAAAGAGATCCGTACGCCGCAATGTACACGCGCCCCCCATGCTGCCATGCTTCTATTGTGAAAACACTGGCAGTCCATGCTTTTCGGCATTTTTCTTCGAAAACGCAAGACTGATCCCAAAGAATCAGGAACTACGCACTGGACGAATCTATTGAGGCAATTCCACTCGCATCGTTTCGTCCCAACAGGAAGCCGCGACGGAGATGTGCCGCTCTTGCTCAGCTGGGTCTGGGTCAAACTTAAACCACCAGGGGACCGCAGGTTTGAGTCCATGTGTCCATTTACTAGGGCAAGCCATTTTGGGGTTCGCCTATTTTTGACCCACAGCCAGCTGCCATAAGGCTCGGGCCGGCTTGCGCGTGATCTCCAAAAGGGGATCCGCAACAAAGACCTGAGATGCGGGCGCTCTTAGCTCTCAAGTTGGGGGCCTATAGAAAGGGTACAGTGACAGTACCCCATCTAGGTCCTCCAGTAGAGAGGTTAATTTAGGGTACCCCTTTTTTCTGTAGTCTATTTGACTAGGGAACCCTCCCCAAAAGAAGAAACGTCAAACGTTGGCACTACTGGGGGACCTAGCCATAGGTGTCCTTGTTACAGTACCCTTGGTGTCTTCTTGGGAAAGTAGATGAATCCTGGCAGATGATGGAACTGCCAGGTCCGCTAGGGCCATCGATTTTCCACGATAACCAAACAGTGGACGCAATCCGTTCGCACCACTTGGAAACCATGGGAAACCGTTGTTTGTTGGTATTTACAGGGGAATCATCATTCCAGGGTTTCTTAGGTAGTGCAGGATTTCGTCCATCCACAGCTATGAAGGGTACCCGCAATGCGCCAAGTCATATCTGGTCACATGATCATGGGAAAGGTTCTGGTTCATCCTGAGGACCTGTGGAGTGGTGTGTTGGAAAATGGGGCCGTGGCCGGGTTGTCATAATATACAGGTTTGTTTGGGTGCCGGTGTCCGTCCCTGTTCTCACCCTCAAACTCACCATAGACTACCACGTGATTCCCGAAACTTCCAGCAATCCACGTGGTCTAAAATGACTCATGTCCACTACACTTCGCCAAGAATGACTCATTTGCGTGGGTTGGTTGGTCCAAGGGAATGACTCATTTCCATGGGCTGGTGGGTTTTTCTCGCCATCCTTGCGCCCAAAAAACCGTGGCCCGAAGCCTCCCGGGACCTCCGGAAGCCCAGTGGTTGCTCCAGGTGGAGTCTTTTTCAGAGCGACCCATTTTCAGTGAAGAACCGAGTCATGGACTCGGGAACGCAACAAAATCTCAGAAGTCACAGAACCAGAAATTGCCATCGGTGATCATTGGGTCACGTTTTGAGGCCCACAGTTTTGAGGGCCCCCTTCAAACCGAAAAATTGGAGATGGGCAAAAAGGTGGAGTCGGATAATTGACCCTGGAAGGGCGGTTTCGTTGCATGCTGCCTTTTGAGGGGAGGACACAAACAGGGTCGAACAAACTTTGCGAAGATTTGCGAAGCCAATGAACGAATGAACCAACGTGCGCGAGCCTGGAAACCAGGTAGCTTCCTTACGATTGTTTCTTTAAACAGGGTCACCAGATCTAGCACGTCCCTGAACGGCGAGCCCAGCTGCATGTGTCACATGCTTGCAACATGTAGCAAATCCATTGTCGACACCACGAACCACCCAACAGCTCCCCCTTCTGCAAGCCTCCTCCGCAACTGCCCATTGTTGGTTCAGTCGTCATGCTTCCTTTCAAAGGGAAACTCACTTCAACTTGGCCTTTCCAAAATGATACTGTGATGCTTCAATCCCCTGCTGAAGCGGAGTTGTTGCCCAACTTGTACCCATGTAGGCTGACAAAACCCAAGTGTGTTGATATGGCAGAGTAGCCCTGCACACATGATCGAACATGAAAGGCCACAGGAACCTCCCCCCCCAAATGCATTCCAACCAACATGGGCCACCAATGTAAGAACCTCCCAAACCCTATCACTTGGCCGTGGGTTCAAAATAGGCTAACCCCAACATGGAATCCTGGTACTTGGAAACATGGATTCCAACCCCTGCGGTCCATGGCGGTCGAATTCATTTTTGACCCGTACCCTATCGAACGCCGAGCTCCTCTGAGATCCCAGGCATGCAAGACCGAGAGCAAGGTCTGGGTGTTGCCCTTGTCCCTTAGCACCTGGCACCGAAAGCGTTTGGGCGAAGGCGTCGGCCGTGGGCGCGCTGCTGGTTCTTGGTGGACAAGTTGGTTGGGGAGCAAAAAACACACACCTTTTTTTGCAGTTGAATACGGAAAAACTCATTTGGCGAAAAGTTAAAGTCCTAACATCCTTTGGCAAAATGCACCAAAGGAAACAGTTGACACTGGAAGGGGAGCAAAAAACAAACATGCTTGCAGTTAAGTGGTTGGATTTCAACCACTAGAACTACAATAAGCTTTAAACTGTGACATGTTTCCCAACAACAACCATGGGTTTGGCGATTCAAACCACTCAAACGGGTGGCTCGTTTTCAAGGGGCACACGGGAAACCCCCTTTGGTTTCCCATGAACAAACCACTCAACCAGTCAATACATGGTACCCCCGAAAAAGATGGACACCTTCCAGGGCCCCTCTGTGTGTCTCCGTTGTGGAGGGCACCTGTTTGGAGGGTCCCTCTCCGCCGGAGTCGGATCCACTCCGCTTTTGGCCACACAACCGAAGCGGCCCTAGGTGCAAACATGTCAAGAGATGTAGGGAATCCGGAAGGGGGCGCATTCTTTTGGCTGGCTCTGAGGGTTATGGATTTCTGCACTTCCGGGAACTATGGCTGGGTAGCTGAATTTCATGTGAAACCCAACAAAGGAAGTGCTTGCAAACTTCTACATTTCACCACAGACTTAAAGGTTTTCCGGTGGTGTGCAATTTGAACTGCGAATTCGAACCATCGTTGGATAGCAACATGTTGTGTGACGCCCCTGCATGGAACACCTGCTTTGCACATAATTTCCCGCAACGAATCAACATGTGCAAAATCAGAATTGGATCCTCAGTTTTGGCTACGTAGGATATATCCATGTCTTTTTTTGGAGCTAACATGAGCTAACGCCAGTCACGGTTTGTCTGAGCAACAGGTCTCTAACAACCTTTTAGACGAGAAACCCAGCGGACCTCAGTTACCCACTTTAGTAGCCTTGGTTACCTACCTCAGATGCCCAGTGGATTTCCATGGGAAAACAAGGGCACCCTTTTTGGTTGGTTAACTTTAAAGGGGAACCCTCACCCAAAAATGGAAAAAAGGAAGCAACCCACTGGGCAACAGAGCTAGTAAACAGCTGCAAAGGTCTGTCCAGCTTCCATTTGCTTAAGCCCCCTGGAAAAAAACAAAAACTATTGCCAGTAGTCATAGGTTCCCTTTAAAACCAACAGTGGGAAATAAGAACACACGATTCCTAAGCCCCTTTAAACTTGGTGTATCCCAGCCCAAATGAGGGGTTTTAACCAAAGGGACAATGAAACATATTCTTAAGCAAATGGAAGCCAGGGCCAACCACCAAAGGCCGTGTGGAGGCCTCCATTGTCACCTCGCAGCAGGTCCGGAAGACGCCCTCCACGCCGGTGACGCCCATGGCCTCGCCAAACCGGGAGGAAATCCCCAGGTCTGGGCTGGCCGTTTTCAGATCTCCAGCTAAAAGTTCGACTTTTAGTGGGTTGAATGGAAACACCCCCCTTCCCCCCCGCTGAATTCTTAAAAGCTAAAAACACCTAAGGGGACGGCTGGGAACTGTCAAGGTCGGAATCCCCTGATTTAGGGGCTTGAAAGGTCCCGAATTTGGGGCTCGAACGTTGGCCGGAGCCCCAAAGCTACTGGATACTTGGGGTGAGATCATCCAGTTACAAATGGCTTTGCTGAAGGCTAGAAATGCAGAATTTTCAGAGGTTGGTGGCGGGAAACCTTCAATTCCAATCAAGAGTGCTCCAAATTTGCCACCACCTTTCCAGAACACAAGGAACTCAACAACCCACCCTTGTTTAGACTCCTTTTGGGATGGGCCACTTTGAAACAAAGGTGGTTGATACCAGCAAACAGTTGCCTGCTTCTTCTACCAGGCCCAAAATCCAAAATACTGCAAAAAGCAGTTGTTGGGGGATTCTGGTATAACCACTAAATTATTTACCGTTCAGGAGTTTCGTCATCCAAATTGGGTCATTGCCATTCCTTGAATAGGGGCAAGGCACCTTTGGGAACACGCCAACCTGCTCACCCCGGATGTGTTCCCGGAGCCGTTTGTATTTGTGGCTACCCCTTGGTTTACTATGGACCGCCAAGCAAGGCTGAGGGGCTACCCAGGGATACGCCTAGGAGAAGCCCTCAAGGCCACCCCCCCTCCCCAGTTTGCCCTGGGTAAAAGTGGCCCATGTTCCATTGGCCCAACTTTTGGATTGACTGGGAGTGGGGCAAAGACTTGTTCGCACCCAACAGGAAAAAAAGAAAGGAAAAAAGGAAAAATAAAACCGCTAGCAGAAGCCAGGACAAAAACCACCACCAACAAATCTTAAACCTGCCATGGCCATGCATTTTTTCTCCTTGTAGCCATTCAGCCTGAGGATCAACCAGTGGACCCAAGACGAGTGGACCCAACCGGAACTGTCTGCTCGAGCGGCCGCCACGCAGTTCTGCGTGAGGCGGAAGGGCACCATCTCGGGACGCTCCAGCAGCATGCCTCTCGCGGTTCCCTCCCAAACTGCCAACCTGCGAAAATCTGTTCACGCGGGGGGGGGGGGTATGGGAGGAAACAGCTCCCAAACTGCCAACCTGCCAAACATGTGTTGTTGTTGTTGTTGTTGTTGTTGTTGTTGTTGTTGTTGTTGTTGTTGTTGTTGTTGTTGTTGTTGTTGTTGTTGTTGTTGTTGTTGTTGTTGTTGTTGTTGTTGTTGTTGTTGTTGTTGTTGTTGTTGTTGTTGTTGTTGTTGTTGTTGTTGTTGTTGTTGTTGTTGTTGTTGTTGTTGTTGTTGTTGTTGTTGCTGTTGCTGTTGCTGTTGCTGTTGCTGTTGCTGTTGCTGTTGCTGTTGCAACAGGCTGTTGCTGTGCTGCTGCTGCTGTTGCTGCTGTTGCTGCTGTTGCTGCTGTTGCTGCTGTTGCTGCTGTTGCTGCTGTTCTAGTATGCCATACACATTTCTTGTCGGTCCATCTACAAGCCAATGCCAGATGCAGCTCTTCGAGGTCGACGGCCTCCACGGACGGGATGAGGCTCTCTATCGCTCAACTTCCATTTGCTTAAGCCCCCTGAAAAAAAACAACAACAGTAGTGATCCATTCCTGTTGAAACCAACAGGGGAAAAACAACAATATTCTTAAACAAATGGAAGTCAACGAGACGGGTTTACGCGAGCGCTTCAACCGCTTCGACTCGTGGCGGCCTTGCTTCAATCGGTGCAGTCCGGTGATTTTGTGTGCGCTAGGGTCGTGCGCCTGCAAGCCCATGAAACGGACTCTACTAGGCGATTTGTGAGGCGCGTGGGCTGCAACTCCACGCCAGGTTTTCCCCAAAGCAATCGTTGATCAATTGACTCGTTCCCGTGGAAGCCATATCGGCTTCCACTCGAGGTTCCCTTTAAAGAGCAACGGCTCGGAAGCCCTGGCGCAACACCCGTGGCGTCGGCTCTCCATAGTATCCATAGGGCTTGGGACATCAACGGGGCCGTCAGAGGCGTCGCAGCCACACGTGAGAAGTCGCTTTCGACGGATTCCCTTAAGCAAAAGGCTTAAGGGATCTCTCCAAATTAGATGGCCCCAGTCCCTTTCTGTGAGCAAGTACGGGGGGTGACTAGACCAACATCGGAGAATTCTGCCATCTGTCACCCAACTGTAGTCCAAAGACGGCGTATACAGCAAACCCAGAAAACCTGATAATCTGACACCGAGAAAATCATGACCACTCGCAGTGCAAGAATTGATTGAGCATGGGTCAGAACACGAAATTCATTTGGCCCAAGCAGATCGGATTTCACTTGCACCTTCAAACAAATACGACGAAACACTGCCAATGGCCTGAGCGAAATATCGAAACACACCAAACAAAGCCAACGTTCCCAGGATTGCGAACAGATATACAGCAGTAGGTTTGGGACCTTCTTCACGGGAGGTCCCCTCTCGGCGCAACGGGAACCAAACCTTTGTATACAAGTGCAAGGAAGAAAACCAGTTATGTTGCTTCCTTCCGCAATGGGAAAGTAACCTGTTTCTCCAACCCCCAAACCAGTTCTCTGACATTCACAATCGTGTCTGTTGGGCTTCTAAGCAAAGGTTGGGGTCAACAAGTTCCCCATTCTGTAGTCACTGCCATTGTGATCGTGCTAACTCATCGCGCTTCCAATTCACTGCTTCGCAACAAGCTCATGGTTGCCGCTTGTCCCATAAGCACCCTGGGATCCTGCGGCACGAAAGGTGAGTCTCTCTGCGGCACTAAAGCCACATGAAAGGAATCCCTTGGCACAGACTAGACTAGAACCCAGTTGACCCAATTCTTCCACCATCATCTCTTCCCGTAGGTACCGATAGTACATGGATATACATGGGGAGTATGGCCGGCACCAGCACGGAGTTATTCGCCTCATGTTCCTTGCTTCGCGGTGTTCAAGTTCGGTCCCGAAACTCCTGCAACATCTCCATCTGTTTTCAGGCACGGCCGTGCTGACCCAAAAAGTGAGCTCAGTCTAGCTGGAGCTCGAATTCTATTTGTGCAAAACATAGGGGGTGTAAACCCCGAAGCCAGCCCCAAAGGACTTCGCCCTAAAGGATCTATATACGAGACACGGTTTATGCATCGTAGCTTCCCAATTGTAGTTTGCACATAGGTGTTTCTTCCTGGGGACCACTTCTTGGGCTGTCGATACGGAGAGGGACACTATATAACCCAAAAACTCTTGCACGGCAAAGGCTTGGTTTGTGGAACTTGTTGCCCATGTCCTACCCCTGCCCTGATAGAAGGTAAACATAACCCTCCCACCGACTAAGTTGTCAAGTGGCAATCACAACCTCTCCTTTGTTTGGTGGGTTCTTCACTAACAATCATCAACTGGAACTCGCCGCACAGGCAAAAGAACTCCAGCCGGGACAAACATGGCCGCCCCTCTTCCCCATCCGGGCTGTCCGTTTTCAGATCCCCCGCTAAAGCTTTAACTTTTAGTGGGTTAAATGGACAATTTCCACTAAACTCTAAAAAACTAAGCAGCTAAAAAGAAAAGCTGGGAACCATTAAGCTGTATAACTTGCCTTGCGGCGGATGGAACCTGTGGCAGGAAGGATCCCTTGGCACATGGGCCCCCGTTTTACTGGACCCTGCCTTTGCCAAAGAGGCAGTCAAAGTCCACGTGCACCATCCTGGCGCGGAATTGATGTGTGCATGGTGTCGGATAAATTGGTCATGCGAAAAGATGTGGGGTACAGAAAGAACAACAAATGGCTGTGGGTCAAAAAGTACCAAATGGAGCCCTTGCAAGAGGAAAGATGGACTAAAAGCTGCGGTCCCCTGGTGGTTTCATTTTGACCCACAGACAAATAGATACATATTCGGGCATGCATACTCGCATGTTTGCACAGGTTGCATACTGGCCCTGGCAAGTTACACGAGAAAGCGGCCAAACAGAATCAGCGAGTGCACTCCTTTGGCTTGCCAGAAGCTCAGCGGGCAACTATGAACATGGTTGACCCACCTTTCCTTTAAGTTGAACAAACAAACAACTACAGAAAGGTTACCAAGCCTCAATGTCAACATGCCGTTTGTGTTTGAACCTCCTTTTGTGCTTAACTAGAAGAAATGGACATCAACTGGACACCTGGTCCGCCTTTTGCCAGGAGTGTTTTGCGAACTGTGTACCTGGACCCTCGAAAAACAGGGGAATTCACCCAATGAAATAGGGGCAATAGCCCATTTTTAAGGATAATTTCAAGGTGAGGTAGGGGATTCTGCTGTTGATTGCTCTAGGGCTGAGTAGCATATATCGCCCTTATAACCATGAAACTCAGTAGAACCTACAAACATGGCCCTTTCTGGGGTAGTAGCAGCACTCTTGACATGAAACATCTCTCTTTCCGATGTCTGGGTTTTGTCGTGCCATGCCACTTCTCAGGTGTTGTTTGTTGGACTTTCCGGAAACAAACAAATCTTCACGGCAAGTGCACCTCACCGTTACAAGTCATCAGAGGGGAGTCTTGTGAAAAGGAGAACAAATGACCTTGCACGTTCAATTTGCACTCATACCATTCTCACTAATCAGTGATAACTGTGCTCACTGGCGCAAAGGACAAAGGGAGAAAGCGATCGCATTTCCGGGCCAGGAAAAATAACCCCCCCCCCCGTGAAAAACAAGAAGAGAAAAGAGTACACAACCACGATAGCCGCCAGAGGAGAGGGTACACATCCATTGGTTTGGAAGCTATCTGGGACAAAGGCATCAAGTTTTGTGACACAAATGGGGCCCTCTCGCACAGCCAACTTTCCTTGCGCCCTCGAAGGCTCAGGCTGCATCACGAGTAAACTCGATCGGAGCCCGCCGGGTTGGGTTGCGATTGTTGTGCCGCTTGATTCTCAGGGCCAGACCTTTGGGGGTCCGCATTTCCGGCAGCTTGTGACATTGAGCGTAAGCCTGCATTGCGAACATCTCATCCCGCGAGGCTTTGCCAGAAGCCAGTAATTTAGATTTGAGCAATACTGGAAGGACGTCATCTTCTTTGGGACCAATCCGCCACGTCCCGGGAGTCTGATGGGAAAGAAATGCTTCACGCAGCTTCTGCTCAACTTGACAGGCCGTGTCACCAGGCTCGGGCAACAAAGCCATATCACGCAAGTTGTGCTTGTTCCCGCTTGCGTTCAAAAAGCACAGCATCGATCGCTTCATCCAGATCCTTGTTCCAAGCGTCTATGTAGCCCAGCCGTTTCAAGGCTAGGCGTGTAAGCCTGGAAGAGTCTCGAAAAACGAATGGGCCACCTCCCCTGAACACTGAGCGTGATTTCCGAGTTCCAAACATTTTTCAAACCCGCTTTTGTAATCGTGGAGACGGATGAAACTGGGAGAACAAATGCCAGCTTCCAATCATACTCTTGTTAATCCCGCGCAGGCCCCTGTGTGATCATATCATGCAATGCCAACGTCGCCAGTTGAGAAGGGAAGACTGTGAGAGAGCCCAAGCGGTGTGTAAACCAGAACTTGGCGCATGCTTGGATGGTATAGCCAACCTCCTGTCTGTAGCCCAGCTGCTCAAGAAAATCCATCACAACCTGAGCACGGTGCTTGTTCTCAATCGAAAAATAGGGGTCTGCGATCTTAACAGAGCCAGTTCCATCTTTTTGAAGGATCGCTCGGACGTTGTTGGGCTGCCTCTCCGAGGCTCGCAGTATGACTACTCTGATTCCTGCGTCCTCATATTGCCCGATTACCGCTGGCATGTTTTGTGGAATGAAAGCAAGGAAGCTGCTGCCTGATTGCCGGAGCTTAGCCTCAGCCACGATAAAATCCGTATCAGACGTCACAAGGGCAACACACTTGACTTGGCTAGCGGCCGCAAATGTGTCAATGGCCGCCAGAATAGCCTGATCATTCGGCTCTCCAGCATGCCGACGCGGCACTGGTTGGAAAGTGACATCTGGAGTCCTCATAAATTCTTCCCACTTGCGATTTTCAGATCTCCCTGGCGCGGCGAACACTGAAATGCCCACATGCATTCCGCTGTGCTGCTGCAACCAAGAAATGGCCTCTTGAATTTCACTGATGCTGTGTGCGTCTGCATCCACTATCAGCTCAGAGCGAGCAGAGGCTGACAACGCCCTGCCTGCGCGTCTTGGTGGCCAACAAACACGGAGGAAACACATGCTTGCAACATAGGCGATGCAAGCTGCGTCTCTAAACGTGCTAGCTGCCCACCGGTGTGAATGAGCTTTCACGCTTCGGCACCAACAGCAATCCTTGTATGAATGACATTGCCTTTCAGCGGACGTGGTTTTATACGAAGCCAACTTGGATTAGAAGACGCCATCTCCATTCTGCCCGATATCCAGCTGGGCACATTCTCCAGCAGCTGTCAGCTGCACGCGTTCAGAAATGGCACGATGCATGCTATTTGAGCCAGCGGCTCTGCGGAGCTTTGGAATTCTTGGGAAGGTACAACGCTGAATGAAGCTGGGATTTTGAGCCCTTAGATGTGCCCCAGTTTGAACCAATGACCAGAACGCTAGATCAAGGTAACCGTCTCTTTTTGGGGTTGACTGAACTTGGTAGGGAAGCTCGCAAATGAAAGGGACTTTATGGCTGTGGCTGAAAATACCGGTACCAAAATGGAACCCTGGTAAGTGGAAACATGGACCAACACCTGCGTAACCCCGACTCTTCAATTTTGAGCCATGCCTTTCTAGGTGCCGCTGAACCATGCCACATGACTTGCGACGAACGTGATCAGACCGACAACTTGGGCCCATGCACGTGGTGACCGGATGTGACCGGGCTTCAGCAGGAAAGTGCCAGCAATGACGCTTTAGACTCACTTTTTGAGCGGTTACCACCAACCTGGTCTTCCCAAAAAGTGGCTAAAGTCCATGAACTCAAGAAGTGGGACATGGGATGTTGCTGTAAATCTCCACCTCGCGACGGATCGCTTCTCGGCCTCCCAGACTCCGTGTCGATGAGGATATTCTCGCAGTGCCGATCTCCCAGGCCCAGGAGATACCCGAGCATGCACCAAAGCGCCTCGACGCTTTTGACCCCAAGACTTGGTGGACGTTGGAAAGGGATGCTTCCGGATTCTGAGGCTTCCTGAAGGTCTTGGGGGACGCGTAGCCTTTTTTTTTGTGTGACACGTGCCTTGGTTCACGTTGGAAGGGGAGCAACACAAATACATGTTAGCAGTTGAGTGGTTGGATTTCAACCACTAAACCGCAACAAGCAAACATGTAAAATGTGTCCCAACAACAACCATGAAAAGGGTGCCCTCCCAAAAAAGACAACGCGCCCTATAGTTCCTTCTACGTCTGATTCCAGTAAACGTCGTACAAAAGAGAGGGTGCAAGGGGGCTCCACACCGCATATTTGTTTGGGTCAGCCGGGTGTTAAGCAAATACATGGACGCTCAAACACATTGAAACCCGCGGGAGGTGAAGGGGCTACCCTCCTGGGTCCCGTTTTCAGAGGAGTCAGAGAAGAAACCTGCAAGGAGTCTGAGGCTTCGTAAGGTCTGTCTGAGGCTTCGTATCTTGGGGGACTCGTAGCTTTTTTTTTGTGACCCGTTCAATGGTTCCTTTCTCCTGCGAAGCAGCAGAGAGAAAGATTCTTGGTGCGAGCCATCGAAACCTGCTGGTTAGCCAGCAAAGGGGTCCCTATAGTGCATGCAAAGGGCCAAGGGGAATCCTTTTCTGGGAACTTCATTCAAGGCACCTGTATGGCCGAAATGGTATACCCGGTGCATCCCAGGCAAATCGTTCAGGTAGGTTTGCTGTTGTCCTTCTGGTGTTTGATGGTTACCCACAAAGCCATGGCTGCACCGGAATAAGCTAAGACTGGAACCACCCCCCAGCTTTCGAACCAGGTGACCTCATCTTACCCCTTGAGCTGGTTCTAATTTGCACGGAACCCACTACACCTTTTCCCATGTATGCTGCGCAAAACTCAAAGAAGTCGTGAAAGCAAGCCTCCCTGCATTCTGGCTCTTGAAATGGGTCTCTCTCTTTCCCATGAGCCACGGTCTTCGCTTGTTGGGCGGAAGCCGGTCTGAATCTAGATAGGGTGGGTAAAAGACAGGGCAGGGTGAATCACAAAACCACAGGACTGCGCAGACTTTGACTCCAAGACCGACACAGAAATGGCCCTTTTCTACCCTTTGCGTCTTTATATGTTTGGTTTTATTTGCATGCGCTTAGTTCCGGGAGAGATGCAGCTTCACAGTTTCGCAGATCCCGAGCTAGTCCACCTCAAATCAACATGGAAACCAGTAAGCCACGGTCAGAATGACTAGTTTCCCGTAAAGGACATTGAACAATCCCTAGTTTTTGTGTGGAATCTATTTAGTTCTCCCAGGTCCCTTCCAAATGCGCAAACGTGAAAGAAGGCGGGGTCGGTTTGTGCCAGAGACGGCTTTACGGGTTCCATGTTCGTCCGAGAAACGACAGGAAGCCCGGATCGAATGGGCAACGATGAGACATGTTCCCAGCAAGGTCTAATAAAAGGGGTCCAGGTCCACCAAACGGGGAAGAGTTGGAAACCCCATGGCAAAAGATGCGCTGTAAGCATGAGGAATGGCATGCAACCACCCTTTACAGAAGCTGGACTTCCTGCTGCAATCAGTGACCTTTTTTTTTTACAAAGCCCATCTTGCAGGGTCGACAACTGTTTTTTTTTTTTTTTTGTGTGTTTTTGTGGGGGGTCCCAACTGACAAACACAAATCTAGAGGGTGCAAGACTTTCGGGTGAAACAAGGGAAACAAGTGCAGCCACCTGTTCTAGGTCCTCCAGTGGAGAGGTTAGAAGAAGGGTACCCTTTTTTATCTGCAGTCTATTTTAGTAGGGGAACCCTCCCCACAAAAAAGGTAAAAGGGCACTACTGGGGGACCTAGTGTTTTTCAAACACCAAACACCTAAGCCAGGCTGAAAGGTCTCCCTTAGGCAAATTGGATATCCCAAACATCTAGGCCGTTCAAAACGGAGTGGCCAATTCCCCATCGAACACCCAAGCTCACTTTACCACCCTATGGTAGCAACACATTTTGGCATTTGCGGGCCCCTAACAACAATATGCACAACCAAAAAATAACAAACACAACCTAAGCACTTGCCAACAACAGTGAAGGCAAGGACTGAGGATTGCCTTGGAACAGCCCAGAATGTCATACCTCCAACACATCCCCGGCTTCCGAATGGCGCCTGGGATTGGCTGAAGAGCATGCGCCGGGCGAACCAAACGGAAGGGTCCCCGCACTGCATAAACCACCTGGCGGGCCAAACGACCAAGGTCCCTTTCGCGGGAATTCCAGAGCTTAAATTGGCAACATATGGCTGCGGCTCAAAAAAATGGTGCCAAAATGGCACCTCGGTAAATGGAACCAAAGCCAACCCGCGTAACCCCAGCTCTTTAATTCTGAGCCAGCAACTCCTGGGGCTTGCAATGGAAGACCCAGACCCTCTATTGGACACCCCGGCAGTGTTTGGGGGTCTCAAAACCTGGTTGTTTGAGGGCCCTAAATCCATCGGGAACCTCTGGGTAGAAGTCACCCTACTGTGAACAAAGCAAGCAATTCGGACGCAGGCCCTTGTTTGGATCTTTTTGGTTGGGGTGATTGAGGGGTGTTGGGAAGTCTTGCTCACGAGAAAGGCTTCCATTCTGAAAACTATATGAACAAACAACTGAAAGAAGGCTTGTTCAGCCTCTACATATCCCTTGGCGGGTCTTTGGGCAGAGGGTTGCAGGGTCCGTGAAAAGACGCACAAGCCCCACCAAGAAATGACGAACCAAACGAAGATGACAGATCCCAGCATGTGGCTTGCATCGGATTGTCAGGCTTGTGACGAGTTGAAGCTTGCGACTTCAAACATTGGCAAACAAAGGCCGCATCGCATCTCCCACTGCCCATTCGCGATCACCTCCTTCCACGCTTCCCATCTCAAAAACAGGTTTTGGGTTGCTTGAGCCATAGGGTGCCCACCCAAACCCCCCAGCCCAACCCCTCAACCCCCCACCCCCCAACCGATTAAACCTAACCCCCAACAATCCCCGTCCCCCAACCCCAAACCCCAAGCGCCCCCAACCAACGCCTCCCCAAACTCCCCCAACCCCCAACCCCCCCCCCCCCCAACCCCCAACAACCCCCGAACCCCCCAACGTCTAACTTAATACAAATAACATCATTTTCATTCTTTAATGATTCCCACTCACTCACTCACTCACTCACTCACTCACTCACTCACTCACTCACTCACTCACTCACTCACTCACTCACTCACTCACTCACTCACTCACTCACTCACTCACTCACTCACTCACTCACTCACTCACTCACTCACTCACTCACTCACTCACTCACTCACTCACTCACTCACTCACTCACACTCACTCACTCACTCACTCACTCACTCACTCACTCACTCACTCACTCACTCACTCACTCACTCACTCACTCACTCACTCACTCACTCACTCACTCACTCACTCACTCACTCACTCACTCACTCACTCACTCACTCACTCACTCACTCACTCACTCACTCACTCACTCACTCACTCACTCACTCACTCACTATCTTCCTGAAGGGTTCGACCGCAGCGCAAAGTCGCCCTGCGACCTTTGGCGCCAGCACTGCGCCTTCCCAGCCTCCAAAACACTTGGGCCCAGCTAAAACGAAAACAAGACCAGGCGTCGAGACCCGGAAAAGACCCCAACACCCCAACAACCCGCCCAACAACCCCCAACCCCCAACCCCCCCCAAACCCCCCCCCCAACACCCAACCAACCCCCCCAAACAACACCCCCCCAAACCCCAAACCCCAAACCCCAACCACCAACCCACCAACCCCCCAACCCCCAAACCCCCTGACCCCCTGACCCCCCAACCCCCAACCCCCCAACCCCGAACCGATGCAATTGGACAGTTTTGCCTGTGCAGGATGGGCGGGTGTCTTGGCAACACCTGGCGGGTGAAGGTCTCGTAGAGGTCCTGGCGAAAAAAATCGCAAGCCCATCCCCAACGACTGCTTCTTTCAACCATGCCAAAAATCCTCAGTGAGAAGATTGTTGGCAGGTGCCGATTTGGGAGCCTTTTTTTTGCTTTGTGTTTCTTTTTTCTGGGGGGGGGGGGGTTGGGGCTGCAAAGTCATCTCTACACATGCCCCTTGAATCGCTCAAAGGAGAGGAGCACTTTTGATCGCCGATGGATTCCACCCACAGCATTTGTTTGTGACCTTAGCACCGCAGCTCAAACCGGCCATATCCAACTGGCCAAACGACCAAACTGTTGGCTTGCCACTGGTCTTCCCAAGAAACCGTCCAGGTCCAGTACTGGGATAGGTCCTCCAGTAGAGAGGTTCGAATAAGGGTACCCTTTTTTTCCTGTGGTCCATTTGAGGAAAAAACCCTCCCCTTCAAAGGGGTGAAGAAGGGCAGCCTTTCGCTGAGGGACCCACTGTGGGATAGCGATATAGACTCACCACCAAAACGGGAGCGGCTTCCGATCCAAGTCCTTGGAGCGGTCGAAGAGGTCTTTGATCTCATTGAGGCCCTGGCGCGGCGTCTTCCGAGACTTCCAGAGCTCGTCGATGACGTTGCCTCACGACTGGCGGGTCAAAATGAAACAGGGCTGTGGGGAATGACCACTTCTGTGATACAACAGAAAGGGCTTCCCAAAGACTATTTTCTTCATATCACAGAAGCGGGGAGAAACCCCTTGATCCCACAACCCTGAAAGTAAACCACTAGGAATTGGACCGCGGGAAAATCAATCGCCCATGTGTCCATTTGTCAGGGCAAGCTATTTTGGGTACCTTGTTGGGTCCCAAATCGGCGAACCCCAAAATGGCTTGCCCTGGTAAATGGAAACATGGACGATTTAACCTGCGGTCCAATTCCTGGTGGCTTAATTTTCACCCATACTCATCTCACGACACTCAATGGGGGGACCGCGAAGGGTCTAAGTATAGCAGGTTCAGCGGGAAACACTTGCCGTTGGGTAAGGTCTTAGTGCTTCATCGGTAGTGGGAAGAAGGGTTTGCTTCCTGGAGACTTTGGAGATGGCTACAGTTCTTGAGCGCGCATTGGGCTCAGAACTGCAGGCGGAGGGTTCCATTTTTCATTTTTGGGGTGGAAAGGAACTCGGTGGCTTTCTGCTCCCCTGCTAAAAGTTGTTCACTTTTCGTGGTTTATTTGGAAAACCAACTAGTTGGCAAAAAGTTAAAGTCCTAACATCCAAGCAACATGCACCAAAGGGAAAGCAGGGGAGGTCCCTTTCTGTTGACACCTATATACCACATTGGCTCGGGTGGAGGAAACTGAGGCAGCCACAGGCAGTGGCCGAAAAAGGATTGGAGGCCCAGGAGGAGTTTGCCATCAGGGTGAAAAGGCATTGTCTAGAAACTCTGTCCATTTTCTGATCCCCTGCAAAAAGTGAATAACTTCTGGGTTCAATCGAAAGCCAACCACTTGGCTGGGGGCCACCAAATCTTACAAGTATCATGGAATTCAAGCCCTCCCAATCCCCCTGTTTCCATATAAGGTAGCCCCCAGAATCAGGTCTGAGAAATGTATTTATTTGAGTGCGGGATTTTGCCCCGCCTAACTCTCGGAACTTGATACCAACGCCTTTGAAGCAGGGTTTGGGTCAGAGCCCCAAACAGAACTCGTGCCCAAGGTTTGGGGGGGAGTTTTTTGGGGGGGGAGGTTTGGGGGAAGGTTTGGGGGGGAGGTTTGGGGGGAGGTTTGGGGGGCGTCCAGTCGCTTTCCCTTTAACACACTATCCAAAAATGAAACACCCGAATGGAAGGGAGTCGTCTCTTCTGACGCACTTTTCCTAAGCCAGTCAGGGTTGCCTAGAGTCTGCATGACCCCAAAAAAGGTGACGCATAACCGACAAAGGAAGCCCAGGAACCTCTTCCAGGCAGCCTTCGCCTCCCGTTTCTGGTCGGGTGGCGCAGGCCCTTGGTGTTTGGCACCCACTCGATGAGCCCACACTTCTCGGACAGGATCACCACCTGGCTGCACTTTGGACATGCGAGTTGTTGAAAATCGATCGAATCCCAACTTGGGTGACTCTTTTAAAGATTGGACCCCTCCTAAAATTACGGGTTTCCGGCTTGATTTCCCAGGAAGACCACACACAAAAAAAAGGCTACGCTCAAAAAAAACACAACTTGGAAACATACCCACATCGAACATTTCCCGAAGTCTTACCAAAGTGGTTGTCATTCCCGCTACTTTGTCACCTTGATTGGAAGCTGACAGGGCGTTCCTTCTCCCGAATCCATTTCCAAGAAAACCAGGAAAGCACGAGAGAGTCAGCACTGGCCAGGTCAACCGGCGTTCTTTTTGGACATGATTCCAGGATCGGAAGATGGGTTGGTCTCAAATCGCTTGGACACCCGTCAATTTCGGGGCGGGTTACTACTTGGCTGTTCGGCCAAGCTAGTAAGTTGATGACCAAGATTATAAGTTACTTCCATTTGCTTAAGCCCCCTGAAAAAAAGAACATAGTTCCAGCAGTCGTAGGTTCCCTTTAAAACCAACAAGGGAAAAACAAAAAAATATTAAGCAAATGGAAGGTTACAACCCAAGTAGCTTACCACTTGCCGATCAAACCACTTTGGCATCAACAGACTTCAACGGACCACACGGGTTTGTGTCCAACTGGGGCGTCGTTTTGCGAGGGTCGCCTTCTTTGTCTGGTCTCGGGAAAACCAACACAGAAAACCGACCCACCCCGTCTTTTTTTCACTTCAACCTGCCTGAAAGGTCCTCACCGCCAGGTTCCGACGATTCGCGTCCTGGCGATTTCTGTCCTAAAGAACCTTGACTTGCTGGTTCTCAGTAGGGAATGAGTTGGAATGAACCTGCGGGTCCCCTTAAAGGAATCCTACAAACCATCCCGTATATGATTTCCTTAGGGAATCCCAAAACGTTTCATTCCCAACACCCGGAATGGTCATTCCCTACTCTGAACCAGCATTCGGGCCGTAATTTGGGTGTGGCTCAAAACTGAAGAGCCGGGGTTACGCAGGTTTTGGCCTTTGCTTCCATCCAAGGGGGCCAAAAAGTGGAAGCCAGCTTTATTTTAAAACCACAGCCACTCGCCTGCGATCTTTTTCAACCATCCAAAATCCCCTTGGTCTAACAAAGCAGAGGGCGTTGGAAGCTGGTCTCAATGTCCGTCAAGTCCACCGGAGGATCCCTTTCCCGGGGCACGACAGGCTTCGGATCCACCAAGATCTGTGGCATGTAACCCAACCCGAAACGGAAGATCCTGGAATCATGATTCCCCCCCTGCAAATACCAGTGGTGTCCATGGACACCCATGGTGACCCCATGGTTTTCATGGTGCTGCAGAATTTCGCCCATCCACAGTGTTGGTGGTAACTACAAACCCACCATGGGTTCAACAAGAAGAAACAGGATTTCACAGGCAGGCATTGATGCACAAACTAGCCTGCACTGGTCCTCATTTTGAGGGGCAGACACAGGCTAAAAGCGACGAAGAACAAAGGGTAGCATCGAGAAAGATTGGTGAGAATGTGAAAGAGACAGGCCGCCAACCCGTGAACTCCTAGTCAAATAGCGGCAGTGACAGCGCCAGCCGTCAAACAAAAACAGCGTACATCCATGGGATGCTCCTTCCAGTGAATGCCTTCCCCCCCCAAACAAAAAAAACACAGAAAGAAGAAGGCTGCCTCTTCCCCCGAAAAAAAGAAAAAAGAAGAAAACAAAAAAACGGAAAGAAGCAGCTGCCGCTTCTTTGTCGAGCGGCCGGGCTTTTTGCGAGCAGTTGGTTCACCATGGTGGCAAACTCCATGAGCCTGGAGTCCTCAGCCCGTGGGAGTCGAGGCGTATGTTGGTCCTGGTTTCTCCCCGGGTGTTGTGCATCAGATCAATTTGGATGCCAACAAAAAAGTCTCTCCTTCTAATCAATTTGGATGTCAAGAAAAGTGGCCTCCTTTTGGCCCCTCGTGAAAGATGTGGGGTGAAATTTGATTTGGACTCCTTAACGGCTGCATGTTCGCTTGGTGAAGGTGAATGTTATAGGAACTTCTGCCCACCATGTTTGGGGGTGTTCCCAATTAACACGCATTGCCATGTCAAGAATGGCAACTCAATTTGGTAGAGATCTAACGTTAACTTTGCAGAATCTGAAGGACCATGCCAAATGGCTGGGGGAGAGGGTAAGAACGCCTCCGGACAAGTCTCCGAACTTAACATTTGTTCAACTGGGAGGCAATCGGCAACATATTGATCTGGAGATGATTAAACCCGTTGTCTCCTGCAACATGGAACTTTAAATCTCCCCCCCCCCATTCTGCGCCGGGTCCCTGAATGATGGGGCCACGTTTGGTTTCGCATTGTTTTTTTTGTATCACAATGTCTTTTCAGGTGCCTTGCGGAGGTCTCCGCGCTTCTCAGCCTTGCAGAGGAAGGGATAGGACCTGTCAGGGTGGTTCGATAAAGCTCCCAAGTCTCTGCGGCGCAAACATTCAGTCGAGACAAGGGATTTGGGCCGCCCAGCCCTGGATTTCGTCGGTTTTTTTTCTGGTTTCCAAACCAACCTGCAGGATCACGGAAGGGATTTCCCCTTCGAAAGTTGACCAGTTGCGTGGCGGTTTCCGTTGCAACGGTTGGTTTCACTTTTGGAGGTTCCCTTGAAATGGAAGCGGAGACACCCCTGAGAAAGACCTAACTTGGATGTTCAAGCGACGTCAGATACGAAAGTTAGAACTGTGGTTCTAAAGGAGCAAACGTCACGTACCTCACTTGCCACGAGTAAAACCTACATACCTGACATCCACAAAAGGGTAGCCTCCCCGGAAGGTCCAAGGACCCCTCTGAAGACTTGGTTCCACTTATGAAAAAAACACCTGACCTAACAAAAGGCCTAACTTGGATGTTCACCCACTTGTCGACCAATGGGCTAGAACCGACTTGCCTGACGTGGGGTTGAACACCCAAGTCTCACCAAAAGACCAATGTTCTATAACCGTGGCCGCACAAGTCAGCTGGGTTGAACACTTGTCAGGTCGGGTGAACTTGACAGAGCGCGTTTGGGTCAGCCTTTGTTTTAGTCGGTGCCCCTTTTGCGGTGTTTTTTGTCACGGGAAACCGAAAGGAACCCCGCCATGTTTGGGGGGTCCCTAAAACTGACACCCCCATTTTCAGTTTGAAGCTCGAACTCCAAGCCATCCGAATGCCACGGAACGGGAAGGCCCGCCTGCCGTCGACGCCCAGGAAGGTGAGCTTCTTAGGCCGCTCCTGCAGCGGAGTTCTTTGTTTGCGGGTGGGATCTCCACATTTTTAGGTAGATATGTATGTATATATATATATAGGTATATATTCGTATGTGTGACATGTATATCTACATATATACACATACAAATCGGTATTTATACATGTGTGTGTATGTGTTAAATACAACATGCTAGCAGTGTTGGGCTACCGCTGCCCATACATCCCAAGGCCTTGAGCCTACAGCATCGCGCCCGTACAAAAGGAGTGCTACACTGCCGGTTTGATGCACTCACAGGTTTACACTTCAGGTAAACTCATAGTAACCTCTTTGCTTGACACCTTTCTTGCTGAGCCCAAAGCTTCTCTCGAACCCTGGCCCGTGAGGGCAGCAGCCAAGCTCATTTTCCATCACGTTGGTTGGGCTCCATAGACTCCATGAGTCAGCCAATGATGGCCAAGATGTCAATCTCCATGATCAATCACATGCTGGGGAAAAGAAAACAAGGTGATCCTTTTTCCACACACACACACACTTTCCTTCTCGCAGAGTACCTCTTGAAAGCACCTAGGTCCTTCAGATGCTTTCCCAACTGCTCAAGCGCTTCTGCGCTGATCTGGCCCGGCTCTTGCTCAAGCTGCCCACCTGGAAGTGGAAACTTCTTTGCAACAATCTTCCACTGCTTCCAAGACATGGGGTGCACTTCTGAAAGTGCATCAACAGCTTGCTGGAACTCGGCGCCACTCCACTCAAGGCAGGTCAACTTGGTCATGATGCAGCCAGCCTGCGTCCATGATGGGCAATAGTCCCTGTCGTAAGGGGGCACCCTTGGCCTGTTTCTGTGACTGGGCATCTTGGCACCGGCCCAGTGCCCAAAACAAATTCAAGGAACCTGACAGACTTCAGAGAGCAACTTCAAGGAACCTTCAAGGAACTTCAAAAACATTCCTGTAACTTCAAGGAACCTTCAAGCAACTGCGAGAAACCTTCAACACGCTCCTGAAAGCTGAAGAAGGCAAAATCCCCAAAGTTGCTCCAAGTCTAACATGTTAGCGGGGCAGTGAACACAGTTACACGCTGGGAAAGATCTGGCGGCCTTTCCATACAACACACAAGGAATGGCGGCTCAACAACTACAGCAACAGCGGCAACTGGAAGGAATGCATCCACATCCTCCAGAAGTACATCATGGAGGAGACTGGAGCATTTTACACACCAGAGCAGACACATGACGGGCCAGACATCAAGCGGCATACACCTTGCAAACAGACCAAGGAACAACCAATTGGAGAAGGGCGCAACACAAGGTTGGCAACCTACCTGGTAGAAGATGAATGGGCAACACAGCAAGCACAGACATCAGACAAGCCTTGGACAGGCTGGACCGTCTCTCAGCAACATCAGGAGTTTCCTACACATCGAGTCAGATGATGAGGAACAACAGCAAGGCACAAAGGCAAAGGTAGTACAAGCACCCAAGAAACCAACAACACCACAAGAGATACTGGAGCACAACGTGACACAGCTTCCCTACAGGAGTTGGTGTCCAATATGCGTACAAGCAAGAAGCAGACAAACAGCAGTCCAAAGCAACACAGCAAGCTTCCAATCATACAGCTTGACTTCGGCCAGTCCTCACAGCAATTGACATCCAATCTGGGATGATCGTGGCCACACAACTGACCAAGAAGAGGATGCTCTTCGACTATGCAGTTACAAAGCTACAGTGCTTCCTCATTGAGTGTGGAAGAACATCACACGTGGTACTACAGTCAGACCAAGAAGACTTCCTGACAGCACTGATCACAACAGTGACCAACAAGAATGGTTGCAACCTCACACGCAAGGAACTCAGGAGCATACAGTGCACAATCACAAGGCGGAGTAGCAGAATATTTTTTGCACAAGTCCACTCAAAGCACAAATCAGGCAGAACTACAACAGGGACATCCCAATGGAACACCCAATCATGCCTTGGAAAGTTCGGCACAGTGCATAGATCATGAACAGATAGGCAATCCTCAGCAATGGATGAACAAGCTACTTCAACAGATGGAGCAGAGAGCAACACACACCACTTTGCGAGTTTTGTGAGACGGTGCAGCGCGTGCTACCAGCCGTTAAAGGATTTCCAAAACTCGAGCCAAGGAATCCCTCATCGGGATCTACAACGAGATTGTCAGAGCAAGGACAATCAAAAGGCAGATGCTGCCTCACAAATACAACCAGGACAATGTACACACAGGTCCAAGAAAGACATCAGCATCAGCACTCCCTACATCGACTCTCACAACACCAGTGACGATGGCAGCGACAAGCAAAGCACCTACACCACAGAAGGATGCAGCAACAAGCACAACAGCAGAAGGCAAACGACAAAGCGCAGCACATCAGAGCAAACAGCAAGCAAGCAAAGCTGAAGAAGAGCCAAAATCACCAATGGCTACATCACCGACACATCACAGCACCACCGCCTGCATCACCTACAAGAGAAAGAAACGACACAATAGTAGAAGGCAGCGCAGGCATGCAACAACGCGCCGCAGCAGAAAGACAAGCACTGGAAAGGCCAACAACAGCAGAACAACCAATGGCAAAATGAGAATCAATGCCATCAAATTTACGACAAAAGATGGCAGACGGATGGAGAACACATCCAACAAGGACATACAAGAGATAGCAAACGAATGGATCCTACTAGAGCCAACCATGCATGACACAGAAGGCTTGGATCCGCAACGTGTCACAAGCGATGAAGAAAGACGCACAACAAATATAGACCAACTGTCTTTACAGAGGTTGATGGCAACACAACGCCGCCAAAACAACAAGCAAACGTCGAATCAAGACTGGTTCTCAAACACAATCACATTGAAGTACGAGCACGACTTGTAGCAAAAGGCTACGCAGAACCTGCTACCGGCCGCGACTTACTCTTTGCAAGTACACCAGTTGTACATACTGAGGGTACAACTGGTCAGTCTGATGAGGAGATGTCAGTTTTGCATTCCTGCTTGCAGCAATTTTGTAATGAGGCCACAGGAGCTCTACAATAAAGCAAACAGACACATAGTGTGGCGGCTAAACAAAGCAATATACGGCTTGAGATCATCACCTAAACAATTGCAAGACCATGTGGACGATATATATATATAGACGATCTCCTATTCATAGGAGTATGAAGCATCATTGACACACTGTTCAGAACGCAGAAAGAAGTACTGCTGAGACACTCAGGCAACCTCAATGTAGGAACAACAATACATATCCCTGCCAGGAACATTTCACACAACGGCAACTGCATCAACATCAGCCTGAACAACAACTACGTTGACACTATCGGTGAATCAGGAATGACTATGTGCAACCCAGCACCATCACCAGGAGAGTCACACATGAAAGGCGCAGCGGAAGATGAAGCACAAGCAATGCAACCGGCTTGTTGGCAAGATACAAGGGTTAGCATACACCAGACAAGACAGCGGCAAGATCACGACAAGCACCAACACTGATTGACAAGAAGAAGCGCACGATAAGGCACCTTACAGGCACAAGGTACATGCGAACCTGCGACTGAAGATACAGATGCAGGACGAGCGAATCCCACTTTACATCGACACATACACAGGCGCGAACTGGGCATCATGCGAGACAACAAGAAAGAGCACAACAGGATTTGTGATACATTTCTTCGGGGCAGAAGTACACTATGGAGCGAACACAAGCAAGAATAGCACTAGCAGAGCCAAAATTGTGTGCGATTGGTACAGCAGCACAGGAGAGCCTCCACATCACAACTTCATCAACAAAGCATTTGAGGTACGCGCCAACATCAGGATACACAGAGGCAGCAGCGCCCCCGAAATGAATCTGTATGAGAGATGGTACACCAAAGAAGGCAAAACACATTGAGCTGCGAGTCCAAAACCCAATCATGACAGTGCGCAAAGTGAAGTCAGAGGACAACCCAGCTGACATACTAACAAAGTTTGTCGGCTGAGACCACTACAACCCGTTTCACACAGTGTGCACAGCATGTGAAACAACAGTTGCGCAGCATTCGTGTTTGTTTCACGACTGCAAATCAGCCGCCGTAGTTTCATGCTTTTAGTGTAGATACGTTGCCATGGACCGACCCTCGTGTTTACGACCCTTTCGACTACTTCTACATTTTGGGACATCTTTTGCGTGACAGTCTGCGCATGTTTCTGACAATGCTTTGCCACATATCGCAGCCATTTTACACCGTTGTTTGGAGGTACATCTTAGCACCATGACAGGCTTGACACGGATCGCGGAGCCAGCCTGCAGAAGTCACAGTCACCAGGACACGGCACACCACAAGGCTCACAGCTTTGGGGTACATTGAGGAGAACATCACCGGTAAGCAGCCCCTGCCACAAGACTAGAATGATGTACATTGCCATGACAGTTGAAGAGTTTACAACATGGGCTACAGACAAGAAATTGAGATGCTTGGGCCAGTCAGCCCCAGGTTGAGTGCATTGTGTTGAAAACAGCTCGCCATTTGAAGCAGTTACAGCACTATTGAATTACATCTCTGCAGGAACATGCCGTACACAGCATCTGGACGCACTCTTTGTGGTCACGGTACAGTGGGACGCGAGGCACATCAACTTGTACACTGCTGTGCACATGCAGGTACATTCGAGGATGACATGGATGCAGACAATGGATGAGCTGCAGAAACTCCATGTGTACAAGTTCACAGGCATCAATGGCTTGCGTGGCATCTACATGCAGTTCAACGGGAAGAGTGGGTACATTTGGTCTTACAATGAATGCATAGACGAAACTGAGTATGTGCTGTGCAACTGTGTCCCTTGTGCTCAATTGTACCATGAAAGCCGAAGATGGCAAATGTATCTCACTGGGGGAGGAGCGTCTCCCCCAACTGTACGCCAGTCATGTATTCCAAGTAAATCTTGTTCTTGGTAGCCACGTAGTGAGCAAAGAAGAGATTCTGTTGCTCTTTGATGTACTCGATGTGGTCCTTGTGTCCAGGGATTGCTGCACCTTCCAATGTACCTTCGCGACAATCAAGCTGGTCTCGAGAGTGGAGATTGGACGAACCAGTGTGATCTGGTGTTTCTGCGGAAGGTACTTGATGTTGTTCGCACCCGTGATGCTCAAGGCCTCGGCGGCTGTCGGCTGGCTCTGTAGCCAGCTTAGCCAACGTGCAGTTTGTCTTACAACATCCCGAACAACAAGGCCTTTCGTACATTTGCAAAGTGGACTGGTCATAGTACAGTTTGAGAAGGCGTGTTAATATACTACATGCTTTCTCTAGCAGTACAGTTGCGCTACAGCTGCCCATAGATCCCAAGGCCTTGAGCCCACAGCGTCGCGCCCGTACAAAAGGAGTGCTACGATGCCGGTTTGAAACACTCACAGGTTTACACGTCAGGCAAACATGGTATACAGTTGCTCCAAGTTTCGCAGTATGTTATACACATATAAATATGTATATATATATATATATATACTTAGTATGTGCATTGCTATACATATATATATATATATATTAATCATGTGTATATATATATATGTATATATATATACACATGTATGTATGTATGTGTGTATGTAGGTATATATGTATGTATGTATCTATCTATCTATTTATCTATCTGTCCATGTATGTATGTACGTATGTATGTGTGGATGTATGCATGCATGCATGCATGCATGCATGCATGCATGCATGCATGCATGTATGTATGTATGTATGTATGTATGTATGTATGTATGCATGCATATGTATGTATGTATGTATGTATGTATGTATGTATGTATGTATGTATGTATGTATGTATGTATGTATGTATGTATGTATGTATGTATGTATGTATGTATGTATGTATGTATGTATGTATGTATGTATGTATGTATGTATGTATGTATGTATGTATGTATGTATATGTATGTATGTATGTATGTATGTATGTATGTATGTATGTATGTATGTATGTATGTATGTATGTATGTATGTATGTATGTATGTATGTATGTACATTGGCTCAAGGATGTCGGGAAACACCATGAACCACTCGAAGGAACGCGCGAAGGAACGCGCGGGATGGGTTTGGTCGGGGGGGCTACCACTGTTTCGTGACTTAGTGGGCCCCCTGACTGCGGCTAGATCTGAGCTGTCAAAGTATGACTTTCATCTTGACATGGGGAAATCAGACTTGGTTCCTTTCCGGCATTTTGTGGTTGACCACGACATGCCCCCAAAACAAGCATCGACTAGATATGTTCGACCGGGCAAGGCGCTCCAACTCTTGAGGCTCAGGAAACACTCCTCCCCCATTTTAACTCCCGAAATGGGTGTGATCGAGACTTCATTGTTCAGGGTCTATGAAAATCTGGGCGCAAAAGGGGTGACAAATTTATATCTTCACATTCCCTGATGGCCTGCTTTAGCAAACTGAGCAAACTATGGTTAGTTAGCATCTGAAAATCGGACCCCACAAATGTGATTGGTTTTCCCTTTGCTTTCAGAAGGGTGTAAGTGACTCCCAAAAGTGAAGCAAATACCACTTCCCGGCATCCGTTCAGAAGCCGGAGTACCCGAACAAAACCAAAAACCGAGCCTTGGAGCGGAAGACTTCCACATGCTCGAAGCACCTAACACGAATTCGAGCGAGGCGCGTTTCGCTTTTTTTCTACTCCTAGACATGATTGAACTTGGGCCCAGTTATAGAATGTATATTCTATTCTTTGCTTCCCTTTGAGTCACTGGCAAAATGTAAAATGCATCCTAAGTCTAACCCAGTAGAACTGCAAGACCTGAAGCTTGATTCTAGTGGACGAAATCGGGACTTCGCGCCACCTAAGAAACCACGAGAAGCCATTCCAGGGTTTCTGGACGGTGCAGGACTTGGTCCATACCATGAACAAGCAGCACTGCTTGGTATTTTTTTTTACCGGAGCAACTCACAGGGTGTCTTAGGTGGTGCTGGAATTGGTCCATCCACACTAGGCTGAAGAGTCTGATTCCAAACTTCCAGCTACCCTCCCACCCTCTTCACAGCCAAAACCCGACGGTCTTGAGGACAATGGTCCAAACAAAGGGACCCCGAGCCTCAGGTTTTCGATCGGCTACTTGGTGGTTTCGGGTAGTCACCGTTGCTTTGAGCAACAAGCCCATTGCGATGTTGATCTTTAGGGGGACCCTGACACAAAGAATGTTCGGGCACCGCTGGAGTTCAGTTGAGTGATGTGACTGTTCCCGGTGTGTCCCCATTTTGCCAGGTCAAAGCCGGAAGGAAATGTCGGACTACTTAGAAATGGAATCACTGGATTCATCGCACGGAGACCCCCTTTGTCAGAGACTCTTCTATCGGGGTCTAACAAGCGGATTCCGATCGCTTGCAAAGGAGAACGAACAGTAGCATTTTTTGGGGAGGGGGGGGCTTCCTTTTTTTGGGGGAACTCCTTTTGGTCGGGTGTACAAGGGAATCTAGGCTTTGGTCTTCCAAGGACCCGCAAGACCTGGGTCCTTGTTGATTTTGATCTTGGCTCATGGAAATTCGGCCAAAGGCCCTGGAAGATCAAGGCCTGGAAGATCAAGGAAGATGAAGCCCTGGAAGATCCAGGCTTTGATCAAGGCCCCGGAAGATCCAGGCTTTTCCAGGGTGGAAGATCAAGGAGGCTGCACATCCGGTTCGACGAAAATGATCCGCGGCGCTTCTCGGAGAGGATCTCCGCGGGGAAGAAGTTGGTGCCCTGCTTGATCTGGCTGGGCCCGTCCATCCTGCGCAGTAAACCTTGGTTGCAACGACCCCACTGCAAGCATCACTTTGTGGGGGTTGAGTGGAAAACCCAACTTGACTTCAACCAAGAAGCTAAAGTTGAAAGATCCAACCCAATAGCAGTCAAGCAATTAAACCTTCAGCGAGTCGCTGCGCGAACGAAAGGGAGTTGAGACACAAAGAGGTCGTGTTGAGGCAATCGAAGCATATTAGACCTGGGAGTTTGAGAACAAAGGTCTCAGTTTTCTTGTTGCAAAGGGAACCCTCCAAAACATGGGGCTTAGGAGACCTTGCAAAGGGCAACCCCCTCAAACAGCTCGGTTTCGTGTTGAGTTTCCAAGGCCAACACAGGGGCTTGTCCCCACTTGAGCAGCGCCCGCAACGCATTGACGTTTAGTTCTTCCAATGGATAAAAGGGATTGAATATGCTTCTACCCCAAAGTAGAATCTACTAACTTCCGTTTGCTTGAGTTCCATGGTAATTAAAAAAACTACTACGTTTCAATCACAGTAGATTCTCCTTTAAAAAACCAACAGGGGAAGAAACACAAAGTCTTACAAACAAATGGAAGTTAATTCGGCCAAGTTGTTGAGCTTTTTCGGATTGGGGGACTCCCTCGTGGATTTATGTCCTCGAGTTGTTCGAACCAAGAAAAGCGTCCCTCAAGGTGTCAACTCCCTCTACATGGTGCCTGAAAAGAGTTCCCCGCCCCTCAAGGACTTTTTGGGAACACCTCGGCAAGTTTGAATATCCACGGCCTCCGTACCGGCTACCCTTCCCACAACTTCAATCATCAGTCCTGGGTATGGTGGCGGTCATCTGACTCGTCACCGGCACCAGCACCATCCACTTGTCGTTGCTGGCGGAGAAAACAAAAAAAACTCTCCTTCTTTGCCGGGCAGAAATCCACTGGCCCCGTGGCCTTCATGGCCTTTACCAAAGACTGACCAGGGCGGAAAGCTCTCGCATCCACTGGCACCATGGCTTTTAATAAATTGACAAAAGGGCAGCTCAAGGGAAACCCCCAGTTTCAGACTTTGGTCATCCCCAGAACAGTCAAGTGTGATTCAGCGGTCGCATTTGCTTTTTGGCACCCCTGTAACGCAGGCATATGTATATATATATATACACACACACATAATGACCACCCCTCTTCAGCGTTCGCATTTGCGTTTTGGGCACCACTGCGAATGAGAAAAGTCACCAGTCATGACAATTCCCCTTTGAAACCAGCTGACTAAAAGACTCATCAGCCCTTTACAGTGAATGGAGGCCATGGTCAAGTTAGGTACTGCGCGCCTGTTCCCCCGTTCTTTTCGAACCCCCAAATCGACCAGGCTGGCTTCACTGAACCTTGGATGACTTGAACATCACTGGTTTGTTGAAAGGCAAAAGGGCCTGATTCCAAAAAGGCAGATCACTCTACTCAAAGGGCAGGTAGGTGGATTGCAGATTGCATCAGAGTGCCAAGAAAGCCATTTTGGACATCATTCCTTGCTTGAACCGCTTTTACTTGCAAGTGTTCTTTTGCTGGGGTGATGTTGAAAGGAAAACGAAGAACCCAAACTGATGGCAAAACAGGCAGGTTCTCCAGTCGAGAGGCTAGAAAAAGGGTACCCTTTTGGCACACGGCGGGCGACGATTCGCCGGCTGACGGAGGGGCATGCCGCCCAACCATCTGTCCAGGCCTAGTGGGACAGGTGCCCACCAGTGACACATACCACAGACTGTGGCAGAAAGCACACGACGAGGTGAAACAGCCTCCAAGGGCAGGCAGCCCTCACAACCAAGCCCACATCACGTAGGCCCAGCGGCATAGGCCGCAAGCGCCACTGCAACCAGCGCCATCAAGCGAGGGACCCCAGGGAAAAGGCCCAATCGCGAGGGACGCGGCCCAGACGGGCCGCCCGCATCCGAGCCCTCTCTAGGAAGGTATCTTCCTCTGGAGTGCACAGCAAGCGCACTCCAGAGAAGGCCCCCCGGGGCCACGCCAGGCCCGCATACGCACCCAAACGGGGCTCCCACTTGCCTGGAAAAGCAAGAGGGGCCCTCCGGGTGACACAACGCCGAGCTGCTTTGAAGTGTACCAGCAGGTCCTGCACTGTGGCAGCGCGGCCGTCCTGGTAGGGCAGGATGACGGGGTAGCGCCTCCACACCACCAACGCAACCGCCAGGCCCGGCTGAAAGGCCTCCTCAGCGCGTAGCCAAACTGCACCATGAAGGAAGCTGCTCCACGCCTCCCAGGAGACCAGTAGGGCCATGCGCAATGTCCGCACGCTTGCCCCGGCAGGCCCTGGCATAGGCATGCTGAGGAATAGTCCACTGGAGCAAACGCTTAAGCGAGCGCAGAGACATGCCAAACAGGGAGAGCCAGGGGCCATGATCAAAGGCAACGGAGGCAGGGGCCTGAAACCGGAGACCGCACGCAGTGAGCGCCGACACAAAGGTGGCCACAAGGGTGGAAGGCAGCAGGCGCTGATTGGTAAAGGCGATCCGCCACTTGAGGCTGAAAACCTCCGAGCGCTGGAGATGGGCCGCAACATTAAGAATAGTGCGGTATGGCAGCGCATACTCAGGATGGACCAAGTGGCCGGGATGGACAACCGCGAGCAGGAGTTCCCGGGACCTCCACATGGGCCGACCATCCCAGAGCACTGAGGCTACCTCCGAAGCCAAGGCAGAAAGGATGCGCTTGGGCACAAAGTTGAGCTCAGCGGCATACGACAGCATGGGCATGGCCTTGCGGGCAACATAGGACGCTTTAGAAGCAGCAGAGAGCGGGAGGCTCCTGATGGCCCGGAGTGCTCGCCTGAAGCTCGCAACAGCCGGTGCACGGGCATCCCGGGTACCGCGGAGGTCAAGGTTGATTGTGACCCCCAAGGGGCGCAAGGCCTTCAGACGGGGGGCCTGCGGCAAGGCAGGCTGAAGCTCCGCCACACAAGCATCCTGAGTGGCCCACCAACCTGACTTATGGAGGTTGAACTGCTGGCCAGCGAGGGAGTCAAAGAGAGGCGTAGCACGGACGGCCTGGACCAAGCTGGGGATCGCATCCAAGGTGGTCACGGTCATATACCCGTCATCAACAAAGACACGGGGCGTGACACCAGGGAAGTGCCGTATCAAGAGGGACCACGCTGTCATCAGCACATTTGCCGCAAGCACGGACATGGAGCACCCCTGGGCAATACCATTGTGGTTGGCCAGGGGCTCAGGGTGAACCGCTCCACGCCAGGACAAAAAGCGACGAAAGCCATCGTAGTTCCCACACCAGGCGCGAGCAACAGCCACAGGGAAACCCAAGGCAGTGAGGAGCGCCACAATCTGCCTAGGCATAAGGCGATCAAAACACTTGGAGCGATCAACCTGGATGCCCGCAAAGGGGGCGTCAGTGGCACGCGCCTCATGGAAATCCAGCGCCATGTGATGGGTGATATCCTCCACACGGCGACCAGGGACACCACCGACAACCTCAGGCGGTAACACAGCCCGTTGCCACGCAGTGGAGGCTCGAAACCTTGCCGACGACCACGCCAGGTAGCAGATAGGAAGGACGGCTATGAGCCTCTTGGACAGAGGGGCGGGGCCAGCACCCTTGTCCAGAACAGCCAAGCGAGCAGTGCCGAATATGCGCGGCATGGGCCACCGGCCCAGCTCCACCTGCTGAAGAAGATAGGCGAGGAGCCGGAACACAGGGATAGGCAGTGCGCGGAGCTCAACGGCCCTCCACCCGTCCAAGCCAGCAGACGAATCAGGGCTCCGGCGAGCAACAGACGCAGCCAGGTTCTGAGCAGACACGGGGTCCAAAACCAAGGGAGAGGCACGCTGCTCAAGGAGATGCTGGACAGGGCGCATGAGCGGATCCACAGGAAAGTCCTCCGCATGCACCTCAAAGACAGTGTTCCACTGGTCCGCAGCGTGCGCAAGGGCGACTGCAGGATGGTACGCCGGGGCACCATCAGGACCAGCCAGGGAGTTGGAGTGAGTAGCCAGGGTGGCACTGCGCAGGTGAGCGAAGACCTCCTTACCTGAGTGAAGGGCCGAATGGCGGAGACGCTCCTTCCAACGCGCAACAGCGGCGCGCTGCCGCGTGAGGTGGGCATCACGGAGGGCAGCCTCAACCCTCTCACACAAAGGGGCAACACCCACCGGGGTGAGGTCCTCAGCCGTATAGGCAAACCGAAGTTCCCGAGCGACACGGCAAAAGCGCCTAAGGGTGCGGTGCGTGACCTGAGCATCAGCAACCGAGGTAAGCGGGAGCCGCACCAACCGATAGAAGAGCTCACGCGACAGAGACAGAAGTCTAGCCAAGCGGGCAATGGGATGGTATGAAGGAAAGGGGCGCCCGAAGGCCTGCTGGGGGCAGCGGGGGCAGGGTACCCCGACAACGGCGGCCGCGCCCCCACCGGGCACCAGACTGGAGAAGAGTGGCAAGCGCAAAGTCACAGAAAAGAGACCAAGCATCCTCCACAGTTCCAAGGGAATCCAGGGCGGGCCGGTACGTGGACTGCCACATGTCCTCGGCAAGAACAGCACGCTGGTCCTCAGAGACAAGCCCAGACAAGTCGAGCGGAGCAAAGGCAGCGAAGGCAACAGCCCGTGGGACCTCATCCGGAGCCGCAAACCTCAAGGTCACAGGGGCATGCTGAAAGCCACACAAGGGCTCCACCTCAGCCGACTGGAGCAGGCGAGAAGCAAGGCCGTTGAGCAAAACCGTGTCGATGGCCGTACGGGGGCCAGACCCAAGCCAGGTCTTGTCACGACTGAAAGTGGGCTCCCTCATGGTCGCCTCCGTCGGAGGCTGCAAGGGGTCCAGCCAGACCCCGGTAGCAACAGCATCGTCACACGCCGCATAGGCCAAGGGGTCGGCCTGGAAATCGCCAGCAAGGACCACAGGGTGATCAGCAGTGTACTGGGCTGCAAACTCAAAGATGGCAGCGAGGTAGTCCTGATTCTGGCTGAAGATCACATCATCAGAGGAGGCACCAGAAATCGCATAAAAGTTGAGCGCAAGCATGCGAAAAGAACCAAGCGTGGCCCACACTGCATGGAAGCGGCCAGAAGCCAGTAGGGAGGGCAGAAGCCCAGATGCATCCTGCTGAGGAGCAACAGGATGAACAACGCACTTCCAGGCCAGGGAGGCAACACCCCCCCACTCCACCCGACGGACACCATTCACGTCAGGGACAATGGGGAGCAAGGGGCCAGGCAAGAGAGAACGGCCGGCCTCAGACGCCCGAAAAGTAACAGAACGCACATTGTCAGCCGAAAGGCGGGCCTCCTGAACCAGGAAGAGGTGAGCATCAACAGAGTAGAGCTCAGGATGGGCCGCCAGAGAACCGACATTGTGGGAGCGCAAGGAAAAAGGGCCCTCACCAGGAAAGCCGCGAGTGGCATCAAAAACACGGTACAGCAACAGCCACCAAATAGCAACAGGAAAGGGCGCAGCACACCAACAAGAAGGGAGGCAGCAGTTGCCAGTACCGGAACCCAAGGCACAGAGGGTCAACCAGGGACCCATCCCCCAAGAGGGCCATGGCGGCCCAGATAGTCAAGCCCCCATGCGAGCTGCCTTGGCCGAAGGGGCCAAAGCGCGGCACCAGCACGAGCCGGCTTGGACACCGCCCCCAAAATGCGCGTGAGCTGGGCGGAAACCTGCGCAAACTGGGTGTCAACCTTGTCCGCAAGGGTGTCCTGCTTAACCTCAAGACCCCCCAAGCGTTGCTCAAGGGCCTCAACCCGAGACTGGAGCCCCGTCGGGGCGAGACCAGAAGGGCAAGGCCGAGTGGCAGAGGTGCCCGGATTCTCAGCGGGCAGGGACTGTGGAGTCCGCCCCCCCTTAGGCCTGGCCTTGCGAGCCTGAGGAGGAGGCCCAGGGGCCAGGATGACCTCACACGGGCGCCCAGCAGAGAGGAGGGTGAAATCCATGAGAGCAGGGGCCTGAGCAAAGGCCAAGACCCAAACCAGAATGCCATTGCGCCGGAAAGACCGCAAGGGGATGCAGGGTGCACCCACAGCTTTGAGAACAGCCTCAACAATAGCACCAGGCGTGGCCCCAAACGGCAAGCCTTCCGCAAGGAAAGTGACCCGGGGGACGAGGGACCGATTGGCCTCAACAAAGCGAGGATCCTCCTGCAACAAGGCTCTTCGAGCATCCGCGATGTGAGAGTGCAGGACACGGACTGTGACACCCCGCTTCAGTGGGGCAAGACCAGCAAACCCCTCCAGGGCCCGGGAGACAGCCAAGGCCGCCCTGAGGCCCTCCACACTGAGAGGCCAAAAACGGTGCACCACCGAATGGTCCTGCGGGTCAGCTCCTTGGGCCAAGAAATCACGCACGAAGAAGGGCCCAGTGCCCGACAGACGCAGGAATGCAAGCCTGTGGGTCAACGGGAGCTTGACCGTAAACTGCACCACGCGACCCAAGTTGTGGACGGAGCCATGGAGCACACGGAGGGCATAGACAGACTGGACGACCGACGACTGATGAGGAGCCTCCAAGAGGGCCCGCAGGTCCGCAGCAGGCTTGGCCAAGATGCCCGCAAAGTCAGTTGCGAGGGCTTCAAAGCTCTCAACCACAAGCTCAACGAAGTCAACGGTGTCAATGACCGTTGCAGCCTCAACAGAAGGGCGGTAGGTAATGCCCGGAGCAAGATGAACAAGCACGACCTGCCGCTTATACGTGAGAGCTGCAACAGGGTCCAGGACACTGATCTGCAAGGGACCCTCAACACCAACAGCAGAAGGAAGCGCAGGCAAGGAAGCCCGGGAGGTCCCCGGCACAATGAGGGCTGTGGGAGCAGTGACCGGGGCCTTGAGGCTCTCCGCAAGCAAGCTGACAGGGCAGAATGCCAAGCCGGACACAAGGGGGCCAAGCTGCCCACGCGGGACCAAGACAGGCGCAACCCCAAGATCTGCCAAGGTGAAGGCATGGTCCTCCGGGAGTAGGAGCTGATCCCACTTAGCATGACCCTTCCTGGGGCCAGCTGGTGCAGACTTGGCAGTGGGGACGAGGCCCGGGGGGGGAGCCCACGGGTCATGCATGGTCAAGGGATCAACCGGGACCATCTCATCATCATCCGAAGCAAGGGAGACGGCAGTCTCACTCGAGCCAAAGCCACCCCCAGGCAGAGGGAAGAGGCGCAGCAAGACATGCTGACCCGCAAGGTTCTCAGCCGTAGTGGTATCACTCACCGGGCGTCCCTGGACATACGGTCGCACATGCATCAGGAGACGGTCAGGGAGCGGCAGGGCCCAGATGAGCTGCCGAAGAATAGCAACTCTGGGGACATGAAGCACATGCTCCCTCCGCATGGGGTCATGGATAAAGACCCTCACCTCCGGTGGCACCAGGACGGGGGGAGGGGGGCTGGGGAGCAAGTTGGCCTGGCTCCTGAGCAGGGACGACAGCCAAGTCATGTCCGGTCAAGTCTCCGGCTGATTCACGAGGGAGCCAGACACGAGCGAAGGTCGACACAGCAAGAAGGGGCAAGACAACAGGCGGAAGGCGAGCTGCCAGAAGGACCAAAGAGACAGCAGCCCCAACAGGGTACGTCACCTCGACACTCGAACCAGAGGGCGAGTGGAGCGTGGATCGAGCAGCACCCATGCGGTAGGGAAAGACCATCCTGGGAAAGGTCTCCTCACCAACGACAATTGGCGGTCCCTCCGCGTCGGCCCGCACAGGGGCCTGAGGGTGGAAGGCAAAGTCGATGAGCTGGTCCAGAGCTCCAAGAAAGTACCATCCACGCACAACTGCAGGACGTAGGGCAACACCCCGAAGCCGATGGCGCCACACACGCAGAACGAGGTGCTCAGGTACCTCAGTAATGAGACCCACTGCACTCAGGAAGACAGTCCACGGAATGGCTGCCTGTGGTACTGAGATACAGTTACCCAACCCATGGAACACCTCCTCCAAGGTGGGAGGAAAGACAAGGGGCCGGACTGCCCCAAGCCACAGTGCCCACTGGGCAGGAGAGAAAAAGGCCGGGCGGCCATCAACCAGGGTGAGCTGGGCAAAAAGGCCTCTGTCAGCCAGGGTAGCAGCGGCCAGGACATGCTGCTGCGAGTACCGAGCACAGAGTGTGCGCAGTGGCTGATCATCAGGGGCCAGCCGCCTCTGGAGGACCTCCTGTGCAGAGTGCTGATGGGGCTCAGCGCCAGGTAGGAAGGCAGGGTTGGTATAGTGCCGGAGAACCTGGTCATCAAGCAAGCGGGCAAAATCCATCTCGGCCTGCACCTGGAAGTCCTGGTGGGTCCACGGAACAGGCACAGGGTCACCAAAGGTGGCCGTAGGAACAGGCGCAGACACCTCAACATCATACCGCAGCAGAGTGGCAAGCCAACGGCGTCTGGCACATGGCCCAAAGGTGGCATGGTCATGCACCAGTGAGTGATGGACCCGGTAGCCAGCCCACTGGACAACGGCAAGGATGATAGGGAAGTGCGGGTGATCCGGCAACCCATCAACACACTCCATGAGGAGAGCCAGAGGGGCAGCAGCCCGAGCCCAAGCCAGGGCGGCCACGAAGGACATGCCATGGGGGTCCCCAAGCCCATCCTGTTCACCAGCCCGGGACCAAGGTGGGCAAGGCGGAGAAGCCGTGGCCACGTGAGTGCCCACCCATGGGACACAATGCAGAAGACCACGGTCAGCCACATCCGCAAGGATCACAGCCTGGGTTGAGGTGGGATCCCAACTGGTCAGATTGACCGGGAGCACACAGGGCACATCCAGCGCAAGAGACAGCGAGGCAACGACCTGTGGCGAGAAATCCACCATGAGCTCCTGCTGGATGTCCAGTCCCACCAACTGCCTAATGGCCTCAGCCGCCTGACCCCATCCATGGAAGGACCCCGCAAACAGGTGGGTGACAGCCAGCGGAGCATCAAAGTCCGGGTCAGGGACAATCCAGACCTGTGAATCAAGGTCCACCAGGGCCACACGAGGCATGGTGCCAGCCACCAAGGACGCCCCTTTCACCCTAAAGTGACCGCCAGGCCGGTTGAGGAGGGCGGTGAACTGCACCGGGGCTCTCAGAAGCATCTCAAACATGAGCCGGCGCGTCCGGGGCGTGGCATGCAGGTCAGGCGGAAGGCCAGGAGAAAAGGCAGAGCAGAGCCACTCCGTAGGGGAGATCCCAGCATCAACCCTGAAGTGAAGGTCCGCACGGCCACGCCAGGCCTCAGGATCGCGATCCTGAAAGAACACCACCTCAGACATCAGGGCATCAAGTGTGGCCAGGGTGGTGGAAGAAAGAGCAGACAGGGCCCTCAGCACAGCCGGGTCCCGGGACAACATGGCCACAGCCAGCAACAGGCAAAGCCCCAGCACACCAGAGACCACCGCCACACAGCAGAGCAAGCCAGGGGGGGCCGCGCACAAAAGAAGGCGGGGCGCCACGGAGGAGACCGTGACTTGGTGGACGCCTGACGCACCGGGGAGTGTCGCCAGGCCCTGGGAGCCCGATCCCTGAGCCCTAATGGTTTTGGACCAGAACGGCTAAAAGGGTACCCTTTTGCTGCAGTTTATTTTAGTAGGGGACCCCTCCCAACCAAAAAAGGGGTAAAAGGGGACTACGTGCCCATCCCTATCAAATGATGCCAAGGCCAACTGTTGGGAAGACATCAGCAAAATGGCAAATGCCCAAGCAACTGTTCAATACTAAACAACGTGGATGAAGGATGCTCCGAACATATTGTAAATGATCTAGCATCGCTGTCGAAGGGAAAAAACACATGTCTTCAACCACATGCCTCTGAACGTAAAGGGGAAACGGGTCAAAACCGTTTTTGGGGCAACACATGGGCCTCCAAAGTACATTGCCATAGGCCCAAGCTCTTATAAGGACCACCATGTTTCATTCCCTTTGGGCCAACCATTGAACCCATTGTGTTCATTTCAATGGGCCCAACTGGACCCTCTGGACATCATTGAAGTGGTCGGTTCCCTGATAACCACCAACTGAGGTTCCCTGCTAAAAAAACACATCATAGCACCTCATGTGGATGACGATACTGGGGCCCAACCCACTTCGAGGGGACATAACCATGGAAAAACAGCTGAAGACATAGGGGAATCCTCGAACATGGCGGTCCTTTCAGTTTTCCCTTCAACTTCCAATCTCAAACAGGTAAACAACCACCCCCCAAAAAATGCCCAAAGGGAAGCAAGTAGATGGGCGCTGGCCAGGGATCCCAGCTTCTTTCTCTTAGCGGGGTTTTATTCTCGGACACCCCAGGAAACCAACTCAAAGCCACCAACACAAATCCTAAAGGAACCTTAAAAACGCTTGGCCGGCTTTTTGCCGCCTCAAACTTGGGCGCGGCTCGCCCCGTCTTTTTCTCATAAAGCCCAAACGCCGCACCGCGCCCCACACAAAAAAAGTCCCGCCCCAAACCTCCGCCCACCGAAAAATCCGGCGAGCGACGTCGCCTGAAGGAGCTCTGGCCAGCGAGGCGCGGGAAGCTCTTGCCCAGCTGCACCGAGTCCCCGGGGCACCCGGCCAGGGCGATGAGGTCCTGGAGCGATGAGGTGAACGTTCTGCTTGGTTTTTGTTTTGAGGTCCTGGGGTTATCTCGGTGGCGAAATTTCTGCGAAGCCCTGCAAAAAGTGAATTCAATGTTTAGTGGTTTAGTGGTTTAGACCCATGAGTTGGCAAAAAGTTAAAGTCCTAACAGCCAAGCAACATGCAACAAAGGGTTGTTTTAAAGGGAAACAAACCAAAGGGGACCCCTTCTTGCTTGGGTCCTTTTTGATAGGAAAAAAAGGTTGCTCAAAACTTGGTTCACGTTGGAAGGGGAGCAAAACATGGAATAATTTTAGCAGTTAAGTGGTTGAAATGAATTCAAGCACTAAACCACACAATAAGCCAAAAGGTAAGATGTTTCCCAACAACAACCTGATGGAGTGCTTTGTGTTCCGAGTGGTTCCGAGTGGTTTCCCATCGACCTGGAGTCTCCGTGACCCGAAGTATAAATGGGTGGAGTGGCGGGGTGGAGTGGTGGCTTGGTCCGAAGCTATGAGCTACACACCACTCCCGGGTTCGTGATATGCTGGATGATTTTGAGAAAGACCTCTTGCAGGATGCTTCACTTTGGACGGACATTGAAGCCCTAGATATGAGCCACACACCACCCAGGACCGGGTCCTAAGAACTGCATCGGCCTTTTTTTCAAGCCATGGACCCAGAATCCCCTTGGTACAGTAACCACAAAGCACGCAACTTGGGACGCGGGAGTGGTTTGCTGGCGGTTCCAGGTTTCCCATCTACCCTCTGCAGGAATCAGCTTCGGGTGGTTTGGCGTCTGGTGGGGTGGTGGGTCCCCTTGGTTTAAGAGTGGGTTTCCCAAGTTGTTGTTCTTGTGGCGGGTTTCCCAACCCTTTTTGCAGGAATCAGCTGTTTCCTTTGGGTTTCCAGGCTCGGTGTGTTTCCGGGTTTCAGAATTTCAAATCCCCAGGTCCCACCAAACCACCAACTACAGGGCTCAAGTTGGTGGTTTCCCAACCCTCAGGAAGACTGGTGGCTTTTCTGGGTGGTTTGGCGTCTGGTGGAGTGGTGGATTGGTCCCCTGATTCACTGATTGCGGCAATGAGCTGTCAAAAAATATGGCTGTCATTCCTGACAGGGGGGAAATCAGAATTGGGCCCTTTCTGGCGTTTTGTGGTTGAAACTTTGAAACCTCCAAAGACTCACAGCACCCTAAGGGCATTTTGGACATGGTTGAAAACACAGGTGCAGGTTGGGACCCGGTTGTTCCGGGCTTCCCCGAAGTAAGAAAAACCAAACCTTGATTTTCCCGGACCCTGAACAAGCAGGTCGTTGGTTGATTTTCCAATTGACACCAAAAGCAAACTCAAGAAGGACCCCTTCTTTTGCGGGTCCTGGGAAATGCGTAACAGAGCCGTTCTATACTTAGAACGGGACAAATGATTGTATTAAACCTACCTAGATCCCGAGTTGCCATCAGTTGCCCCTATTTTCCAGCAACTGTTGCCAAATTCTGGGCTTCTTGTGGGTCAAGTGGCTGGAAAAATGTAGTTACTTGGGGTTCCAGGTACCAAATACTTAGCCGCCTTCTCTTAGTTCCTCTGGGTCTGCGAACAAACCTGCAGACAGTTGGTCAATTCTGCCGGCTTGGCGAAACTGCAGAAACTCAGGTAGCTGGCGTCTACCTATACGGTCCTCCGGTAGAGAGGTTAGAATAAGGGTGCCCTTTTTTTCTGTAGTCTATTTTAGCAGGGGAACCCTCCCAACCAAAAAAGGGGCAAAAAGGCACCAGTGGGGGACCTAGTATAGGGATATTGAAAGTGGGAAATTTCAACACGCCAGCTGTGCGCAAACAGTTGCGACATGCAAGCCCAACGTCATGCGGCCTGAACAGCTTGCGCATCTTGACTCGATCAACTGCGAATCGATTTGTGGGACACGACCCAACAGCGGCAAATCCCCAAGGGAATGCCTTGATGGGTGTGCCCTATGCCCTAAATGAGTCCTGGCTGAGATGCATCTTAATTCAAGATGGAGCAAAAATCCCGTGGACAAAATGAGCAAATTGGAAGCAAACACTTGGTTCAACTTCCGTCAATCACGAAGGTCCTCCGCTATGGCGCACCTCTTGGACAGCAAGGGGTGCAACTCCCGCTTTTCCCTGGGCGACCAAAACCCGAAACGAGCCCTCCCAATAGCAGGATTCCACGAACCTTTCCATTGGGGGTGGGGGGTCCAATGCTTCTCCTGGCCACAAGGACGCGTGGAAATCATCTCTACTCTTGGTATGGTAGCAAAAAACTTTGTTTTTTGCAGACCCCCAGTAGAAATGAACAGAACCAAAAAACTAAAAAACCAAACAACATGCCAAGAACAGTGAAGAAACAGTACGCACGCCCAAGTCATATAGCCCCGGAAAGGCCGCGCAAAGGCGTGGACTGCGCAAGCTCTTTGGGGAGTGCGGAACCTGTGCTGCTTGCGAAGCTAAACACACACACACACACACACACACACACACACACACACACACACACACACACACACACACACACACACACACACACACACACACACACACACACACACACACGCACACACGCACACGCACGCACACGCACGCGCACACGCGCACGCACGCACGCACGCACGCACGCACGCACGCACGCACCCACGCACACACACACACACACACACACACACACACACACACACACACACACACACACACACACACACACACACACACACACACACACACACACGGGCAGGACGACCTAGGAAATGTGAAATCAAATGGAGAGACAAAGCGCTTGTTGTGTTGACTGCCATCAACAGTTCAGAGGTTCATAACCCAAAAAGGACATAAACACCCAGACAAATGCCCATGGACAACTAAATTCGCGGCCTGCAGGTGGGTCTCCTTCCTTACAACATCCAAAGTTCTGAGTGGGACGCACAGCCTATTTCACGGCCTTAGAGGAAATCAAGGCTCGGTTTATCACATTGGGAGACCCCCCGATCACACCGTGACCCCGAAACACTAAAATAGATGGAAATTGGAGGTGCATTTGGTGTGCGTGTGTGTGTGTGTGCGTTTGGGCAGACTGTAGGAACAGTTCTGTAACGAATACCTCGCAACACTCGGCAAGCCATCCTCTTGGGGTTGTCGCTGGACCACGCGATGCTCAGCCGAATAGACAAAGCCGAACAGTCAGCCCGATCCAATCCGATCTCAAGCGGGGTGTGCTAAAAACCCTTTGGAAGATACCTCCAAGAATACCAAGATGGACAAGGCAGAGATGGCCTGGCAGTCTTGCCACAAGACGAGTGGGGGGTTTCAGGACTTGAGGGATCACGCAGCTCTCCCCGCAGCTCCCTTCCTGTTCTGGCGAAAAGATGGTCGGTCCATACATGTTTTACTCCATTTTACTCCGCGCCGAAGCGAAGTCCTTTTTTCGTTTGGGGGGGGGGTACGGTATAACGCGGTTTTGTTTGACGGGGATTGATCGTATCGAATGCCGAAGCGCTTGCCGCACTGATAAACGATCTTCTGGCCGAGGTCGTAGTGGTTCAGCTTGTCCTGAGAGCTCATGTGCCCGAGAAAGACAAATAGAACCACGCACAGGAAGCACCCAGTTGCCATGGCAAAAGAGACGGCACTCCTTTTTCTTGAGTGATTTCAAAAGGAAGATTCCCCCCCCCCAGAACAAAAATCATTCTTCATCATGGAAAAGTCTGCACATCTGATTAAGCGAGAATTTGCTGTTATTTTTGAAAGTGTCCTATCCCAACACATGTTTGGGACGCCCCCTTCTCCCCACAAGAAACGAGTAGACATGTTTTCGGATCTCCTTAAACACACACACACACACTCTCGCAAAAGGCTGTCCCTGGTGCAACCTGCCATAGAACTTGCAAAGGCCTACAATATCGCAAGAAAACTATCGCACGGTGCACAAAGGAAAGCCCTGACCAGCGCTTGGTACGTATGTGGTTGCTTCACTTGCTGTATGTTCACTGGCGAGCGGTGTCCATCCAATTTTCGCGAGGAGATGGGGACAATCGGGTGCCCTAGCTTTGCGCTGAACTATTGGGCAGGCCCTCCATGTTCAACGTGGGGGGACCTTCCTTCGTTTCCAAAGAAAAGCTAGCAGTTTGCACCCCCGGTTTCGGTTTCGACCCGGAACCCGGGTCCGAAGACTTGAGGAGCTGCATCAAGTGCCACCCGGACTGCTGAGGATAGGCTTTCACCACGTCCTTGATGATGTCCTGGGCCAGGGTGGCGTATGGGGATTGTTTTTTCAGGGCACTGTTTCAAAGGTTGGTTTAAATGGAAACCAAAGGCAAACCACCATTTTGAACGTTCCCGACTTTTTCACACATACCCGGGTGTTACACCCTTTTGGGCAGTTGACTTTGAAGGAAACCCCCCAACAAAAAATACAAAAATAAACACCAACAAGCAAAAGGAACTCGGGTACTACTGAGTGTCTGGGTCTTCTTCAAAAATAGGTACCCAAAATGGAATCGTGGCAAATCAAACCAAGGACTAAAACCTGTGGTCGCCTGGTGGTTTAATTTAGAGTCCTGCCCAAATTAACTTAACCAACAACAACACCCTCGTCTTTGGAGAGGTTGATCGATGTTCGACACTTCTACAGCAAGCTGGGCAAGCCTAGGTTCGCAAAAGAGTCTTAAACACACGGGCGTCAAATAGAGGTTCTGGAAAAAGCTGGGCGGTGAAAGAGGTAAGGGACAAATGGATGATGGGCACTAGCTGCGCAAGGCATTTGTAGCATGCTCCGCAAACTCGCTTCAAACATCAACCTAGGTGCGTCATGGTAAAACCTCCTTGCGTGGGTCAGACTCTAAACCTTTTGCTTTTCATGGTCTACCGCAACCCAAATCTATGTAACAAAGAAAAGGGCGGATATGCGAGCCTTGGGTTTGTCTCATAGAGGAACCCTCAAAATGGCTGGGCTCCCTTGGATTCCAGAATAAACTCCCCCCCCAAAGAAAAAGAGAGAAACACGAATCCAACAAAAGAAAAAGAGAGAACCAGTATCCAACAAACAATAACAACACTTTTGTGTTTGGGGTGGTCCCGTACCCACCGGACGGGGTCATGAATCCGGTCGCCTTCTCACGCATTCACGCATGGCCTGCTTGACACAAACCCCAGGCGTTTCTGTTTTTTTGTTTTCCCGGGCGAAGCATCTTGGCCCAAGTCTGGGGGGGCAAACAAACATATAAGATATAAGTGATAGGTTCCCTTTAAAACCAGGGATTTCTTTCGTTTTTTATATATAGTCCGAAGCAAATAGAAGGAAAAGGAGGAAACGCCAAACTGAACATAAAAAGGGTACCTCTCACTTGCTGAGTGGATGGCTCCAAAAAAGTAACCAAACGTTATATTTACCACGAAAATGGTCTTCCCAAAAAGTTTAAAGTTCATGAACTCAGGAAGTGAGTATACAAATATATATACATGAGCTCAAAATTATGGTTCCTAATTATTCAATCAAGCGAAAAGTAACACATAAGATTAGAGCAGCCCCAGCTATAACCATAATCTCTTTCCTCGCCTGAAGCCCCAGCCCATCCAGCCCATGAGTCTCACTTCCTCAGTGGATTGGCCAAACGAGTGGGAGTTGCTTTTCACCGCCCAAAAGCAATTACTAGGGTCCTCCAGTAGAGAGGTTCTGTAGAACTATTTTAGGGGAACCCTCCCACCCAAGAAAGAAACGGGGTGAGAAAGGGCACCCTTTCGCTGGGGGACCAAAAACAAAGCCCCCGAAACATCGGGGAGTGACCAAAACCTGCAGGCGAGAGACCAAGAAGATGGCCCTCAGTCAGGCTGTCAGCGCTCTCTTCGTGGGCAAAATCGATCAGCGGTTCATCCAGCCATGGGTCAAAATCTCGTACCCCCAGTAACCATCCCAATCCCCACTAAAATAAAACGGTTTTGACAATCACAGCCATCCAGGGTTTTGTCCATCCAGTCAAAGCACAGCCAGCCAACAGCAGGAGCTAGCATGCCCCAGCAACCATACCCACTGATCCAGGGAGAAAACGGGAGCCCGTTTTTTGGGGATCATTCATGGGAAGCCACCAAACCAAATGGGAAAATGTTGGAAATGCGCTAAACAGCCGGGATGACCGTCCCCAGCGACAGACGCCAAAGAAGCCTCTGCACCACCAGGCATTGAGAGAACGCCGCTCTTTTTTTTGGGTGGCACGTTGAGACCCCGTCTCAAACGGGCGGGGGATCAGTTGCGCACACAAATTTGGATCAGTTGCGCACACAAAACCCCCCTGAGTTCTGGCTCAGTTACGCACACATATTTGGATCAGTTGCGCACACAGAGCTCTAGATGCATGGAATTGGGTGGGTGGGTGGGTGGGGTGGCTTGGTGGGTGGGTGGGGGCGGTGGGTGGTTGGTTGGGGTTGGGTGGGTGGGTGGGTGGGTGGGTGGGGTGGCTTGGTGGGTGGGTGGGGTGGGTGGGGTGGGCGGTTCCAGAAAGGAGCGCACACAAGTAGGTGGATGGAAGTGGTGGCATCACAAGAGATAGGTGGATGGAAGTGGTGGCATCAGAAGGGGTGGGTGGGTGGGTGGGTGGGGGGGGGTGGGTGGGTGGGTGGGGGTGGGTGGGTGGGTGGGTGGGTGGGTGGGTGGGTGGGGTGGCTTGGTGGGTGGGTGGGGTGGGTGGGGTGGGCGGTTCCAGAAAGGAGCGCACACAAGTAGGTGGATGGAAGTGGTGGCATCACAAGAGATGGGGTAGGTGGATGGAAGTGACGGCATCAGAAGGGGTGGGTGGGGTGGGTGGGTGGGTGGGTGGGTGGGTGGGTGGGTGGGTGTGGGGTCCAGAAAGGAACGCACACAAGAGATGGGGTAGGTGGATGGAAGTGGCGGCATCAGAAGGGGTGGGTGGGGTGGGTGGGGGGGGTGGGGTCCAGAAAGGAACGCGCACAAGAGATGGGGTAGGTGGATGGAAGTGGCGGCATCAGAAGGGCAAGAATGGGCGTGTGGCAATCGAATCTGTAAGGTAATTTAGATAGAATGCTCTACCAGGAACTGTGTACCAGCAACTGGTAGATAGAATGCTCTACATTGGTATACATGCGTGCTCGCGCTCGCACACAATAGCCAAGAAGTCAAGCCAAGAGTGGGTCCTGCAAGAAACCACAAAATGCACTGGGCCGACAGGCATGATTGCTTTTTTCCAAGCGCGGGAATTCGACGAAGAACTCAAGTCCCAGAGAGGCACGCCAATCAGAGAAGGGCATGGTCAGCGGATCTCACAAACATTGCGATGGCCCTGGCAGCTGCTTTTTCTGCTTGACTCCTGCAAAATGAAGGAAAGACCCACTGGCTCAACAAACAATGGCTTGCGTGAAGCCTGCCACGCAACTTTCCAAACTCTTGCGCGCCCGCAATGAAACATGAACAATGATGGTACAATGTCTGGGAAATTTCAAGACATGCCGCGGAAGGATCCACGGCTTAGATAGACAGTGAAACAAGAAAAGCTCCTGAATCACCAGCTCCGTGAACTTGCCTGAGTGCTGCCAGTCGCTGTCGCTTATTCATGCCTCGCCACAAAGATACCTTCGGAGTGGCTGCAGATGCCGGGGGCGCGTCCTGGCAGAAAGACGAGTACGTATAGTGAAACTATGAAAGGAAAGGGACATGTTGAAAACCTGGGTCTGCATAACATCTGTAAACAATGGCTCAGTCACACAGTAATCATGTACACTGAAGATACGCCGGAGACACACTGTTTCAACAAGGCAAGGAAACACAGACACTCAGCTCTGGCCAAAAACACCTGGCCTGCTGCGAAACGGGCATGCGACTGCTACTGGCCGCTGCGGGAGACGACTCTGATTCAGACTCTGAGGTTTGCTCAGGAACTGGCTGCCGGGATCTCTTCTTGCCACGAGCAGGCTGCTTCCAAGGAACATCCAACTGCAGTTGACCTGCCAAAAAAAAAGCCACTAGACCAGCCAGGGGAATTCGATAAACGACATTATCATGTGATAACACAGGATCAGAAATCAACATACGATGTAATGACAAAGCACCTGATTCAATGAACGTCACATAGGTGTGTGGACAGGTGCCGCGGATACTGCTCTCTGGGCAACCAAGACATGCAGCTGCACCATGCCACGCCACTGTGGGGTCATCCGCGCCACCGGCACAGTTCCAGTATCGACGTGCCTCTTGGGGATCACATAGCACCAGGCAAAACTTGCTCAGAGTCGCCGCAAGTTGCTCTGAGGTTGAGGTCTGCGAGCATCCAGGAAGCATGAACATGGCCTGCAGAGAGAGCTCCGGCTGGTCTGTCAGATAGATTTTGCGGAGAATTTCCACCAAATCCACGTACACGGGGGTTTTGAGCTTCTCAAAGGATTGCGAGTCGCACTCCACTCGCATGGCCCACGAAGTACCAGACTTCGCACAAAGGAAATGCTTGTGCTGAAGGTAAAATTTTGCTTCCTCCGCGCATCGCTTACTCCAGTGACCTGATGGAACCGATAGGAGTCGCTCAGCGGACACATCCTTCTGCTGGCAACGGCTGCTAAGTAAAGAGCTGATTCTATGAACGACGCTGTTCACGGGCAAATACAAATTGGCCAGAGTAGGTCTCAGCCGATGACGATGCCATGACTCTTGCGGCTGGCTGCCACAGAATGTGGCTAGACCCAAACGGTCTGGAGAGCCGTTCCAATCGGAACTCCACTGGCCATCGCAGTAGGTGAAGTAGTGTCTTCTCAGAACCTCAACCAGCTGTCCTTCACCTTGCGACTGCAGGTGCTCGAAACTGTGGCCCCAAAAAGCGCTGAATGGAGCACTTGGTAGAAATCTGGAAGCAAAGAAAAGCCTCTTCACCACAGGGAGCATCTTTTGTCGAGCTTTCAAATACTTCGTGCACGTGCGCCAGATCCCGGTTCTCCACACAATGACGTCTTCGTCCAGCACCTGCATAGGGAAAGATATGTTCAACCACGTATCGAATTGGAAAACTGCAGTCTTATGCACAAACACACCCCGTCCCCCAAAACTAAACGCCTGCGACCAAGGTCCCTTGGATCGAGTGACAGCTCCTACTAGATGACTCCAGTCCAGGAGCTTCTCTGCCAAAGGAAAAAAATCTGATATAGCTCTCCGAATCCCCTTGTGGAAGTCACTGTGCACCGCACGGACACGCTGCTCCACATCTTCCACCCCACAGCATAACCGCATGCTACGGGACCATGCGCGGAAGATATCCAAGCAGGCATCGGCCGATTCTGTGTTGGTTATGGCCAAGGCCATCTCATGGAATTTCGTTTGATAGGCACGGTGGTGAGAGTCCCAGGAAAGACCGAGAAGGCCAAATGAAACTAGTGCGTGCCGCTGGCGAGTCACACGCCAAGCTCCATCTGTACAACCACGAAGATGTTCCGGCTCTGCGATGGACTCCCAAGTCTGACCTCAGGCAAATCCAAAAAAAAAGAGCCAATCCTGATCTGTCTCAAAAGCTCGCTAACCACTACCAGCGAAACTTGCGCTGATATATGTGCAATAACATGCTCTTGCGCGGTCGCAGCCAGAAGATTAGGTGCGCCAGAGCTGCCGTACATAAAGAGCGACTTTCAGCGGATGCAGTCTTACAGATAAACATCCAAAATCACTCTGCCAAACAAAACTCGCTGACAAGTGCAGGCATGACACGAAGAAGCTTCGGGGAAACAAAGGTGATAGACAGAAAAGGTCCCAAAGTTGCGCCGGCCACAACCAAAGGGACATCATCACTCATGCACGCATCCTCTAACTTCGGAAGTGTTGCAACCAATGTCTGCCAGTCAGCCAGGTTCCACTCGCCACCGCTGGTGAGACCGGCTCTGCTTTCTTTGACCTGCTCACGAACATGGCAATACTGAATTCTGCAACATGGCTGCAACATAGCGCTTGTGCGAAAAAAAAAAAAGCGCCTTGTCGTGACGAGCCATAATGTTTTTGATGAACTGTTTGACCTGCTTCTCCTTGGGCTGCGGCTCTTGACAACCTGCTCGCTGCAACTCCTGGCACCGAACAAACGGTCCCCAACGGCCTGATGATGGGGATGATGATGAGGATGATGATAACGATGATGATGCTGATGATGATGATGAGGATGAGGATGATGATGATACTAAGATGGTGAAGTGATGAAGATGACCATAAAAAAGACGGAAGGGTGAAATCGAAGCCGTTTTAGAAATCCATTCCATTACACAAAAATGAGCCACGCAAACACATCACACCAGTGAGCATCTCCCAATTAACGACTGTGGTCAAACAAAGCAACTGAGGCAGACTTTCCTTTTCATCCAGGCAGCCAGGTCTGAGGTTGGAAACATGAAACGACTTTGCCGCATCCATCTGCTACTATCATGGAACACTTTCTGCAAGTCGCTATTGTCTACCGACGGAAATGGGTAGTCAAATCTCCCAGAAGCTGATCTCTTTTGGCGCGTACTGTCTGTGGCAGTGACGCCACATCGCCAGTGAACTGCGTAGTGAACCAGCAACGCCTAGTGTTGTTCTCGTACTTGTTGAAGTTGTTGCAGCGCAGCACAAATTGCGACCGACATCTACCAGACAGAGGTACTGCGACATGGAGCGCCACGGAGCAATGCGGGCACTGTCCATATTTAAACCTTGAGGCAGGTACGGAATCTGAAGGCGCCGGGTCTGATGTAGTGAGAGACACAGAATCTGAGGCCACCGGCTGTGGTGTAGAAACAGACATAGCACCGGAAGGCCCCGGCCCTGACGTAGACGCAGAAGTTGCCAACTGGCCGGCATACCACGTCT